AGTTTAGATAAATCCTTATATGGATGTCTTAAAATGTGATTACTGAAGGGAGTCTGTTTGCTTTGAGTGTTAAAACTGCTCGCCATAAGACGCTCCTAACTTACCACCCTGCCCTCTGACGGTCACTGATTGACAGGTGTGGGACCCTCCAGTCGTGGTATGGACACTGAAGATGCCCACTTCGGGGTGAGCTCACAGCTTTACTCCTCCTCTGAGGGGTTTCACAATGGCAGTGGGGTTTGCGTAATATATCTGATGTAACTGTGACTCACGTTATAATTAGGCTGCAGCGTAACCTCTTAATGACCTGGTGGAAAATATGAAATGCTTCACTGTGCTGCTTCTTCTACACTTAAAAAAAAAAAAAAAGGTCTAATAAAACAGGTGCTTTTATTTCATTTGCTCATGTACAGTATGAAATGTCTTTCCCCTGAAGCAGAGAGGAATGCTGCTGTGAAGGACCAGTTGTCATATAACACACACACAGACACACACATACTCCCCACAATCACATAGGAATGGCCCCCTCCCACATACATGCTCAGTCTTAACCCACGCCACACACAAAGGCACGTACGCTTGATGGCTATCATTGGATTGATGCCACCTGACACTTAGTTAGTACAGGAATGTGATGAAGGGGAGGGAGTAGAGGGCAGGGTGGGGGGCAGCTGCCGACCCGATCTCCGCACTTCTTGGACGTTCTGTTCGAGTTATCCCATCGGCCCTTTTCTTTTCTCTGCCTCAGCCACGTCTGTATGAGTCCCGAATGACCCTCATAGGTTGCAGTGAGTATGACAGCTATCATGCACTCATAGAGGTGAAAGGAGGGAGGGTCTGCTCACTGTTGAAAACTCACAGACTGTCTCCATCTGTTGTCTGACCCGTGCCATATGCTGGAATGCACCACTTGGCTCCTCCTGCCACGCCACGATCTCTTTAAATGCAGAGCAGCGTTGACCTTCCCCACTTCCCCTCTGAGTAGCCGCAATTTGATTCCCCCCCTGCCTGCTCAAGTTTTTCTCTCTGAGTACAAACATGGATTACAGTGCCTGAGATATCAACCAAGACATAACAACAACAAAGGATGGACTTCAGCGTCTCCTGTAATGAGGAGGCTGAAATGCTCTGATCTGTAGTCCAACACAGTGGCAGCATTTTTCTGTAAGGGCTTTCTGTAGAGTTTGGAAAGGCATCTTCTGCTTGTTTTATTGTAATTTAAATGTGACTGTTAAGTGACATATAAAAACAAATCAACTGTCAGTGCACTTACTTTTAATACTTCAACAGTCACCGTACATGATGTAATAAACCTTTGATGAAGGCCGATATAGAAAACCATGGTAAATAATTTAAGCAGAAGTCCCAAATATTTCATGGTCAGAAGCTTGAAAATAAATACAAATCTATATATCTTGGTCTGACGATGGTGTTGTTTGAATATTTTGGGATTGTATTGTCATTTAAAAAAAAAAAGACATTAGCTGGAGCTCAAATAACTTTGAATGGTGTCTTTGAGTTTGAAGTTTTTACAAGCTTTACAATAAATTTATCACAAACATAATCAGCACATTAACCAATAACAAAATAGTAAATTCAGTTAAGCTCTTAGCTCTAAGCTTTTCTAAGGAAAATTTGGAGAGACTGTTAGACAGAGCTCTCCACAAACTGACAAACAACTCACTAAATAAGAGGATAAATGGCAGACCCTGGAAATGATTTCTGGTCGACTCAGCTAACAGAGCTGTGGGCTCTGTGCACCTGTCATCAGGGTTTTATCTAATCTTTTCAACATTGGAGCTGTAACAGTGCAGCATTTTATCTTTCCACCAAGACACGGCTTGTTATGCTTTTGCAGAATTGTTGTTGTTGTTGTCATGATGACGACTATTTGTTTGGCTGGGTAAGGTGGTGTTGGCTGTTACGTTACGGTAAGGTTCTTGGTTGCGGTGTGTGTGTGTGTTTACTGTATGACTGTATGTGTGTGTTCGTTCACATGTGAGTCTCTACGTTTGGCTAACCCCTCCTACACATGTTGCTCCGAACACTGGCCTTTCTCAGCCCACAGCCTGCTGGATATGACCATGAATGAACACATTCTCTCTCTCTCTTTTTCTGTCTGTATATCTTTGTTACACTCTCTCTCTCTCTCTCTCTCTCTCTCTCTCTCTCTCTTTGTCCCCCTGACTAATGCTCCTCTTCTCTCTGTGTGTCTGTCTCTTTACAAGAACTCACCTTGACCTCAGAGCATTTGAGGTCTACTGCACTCACTGAAAACACACAAAACATTTCCTTTCAAACTAACCACTAAGTGATTTTTCACTTCCTGCTAAAAAAAAAAAACAACAACATATAGCCTTCATAACCGCATACTATAATCAGACACTTTCTGTTTTCAAATTTTACACGATTAGTATTATAAAAAAATTATTATTATACGAGACACTGAAATTCAACTTCAATAGGCCTATTGAATGGAAGATTGTGAATACTTTAATAATGCATTAGTGATAAAGACATTGCTTTAAAACGTTGTCCTGGGCAGGAATGTTCCCCAGCATTATTATTGGTATGCCACCATTCAATTCAATTAAGTTTATTATACATTTAAAGTACAGTGTACAGTCAGTCGACAATGACATTAAAGGCCTATAGCCCTGACATATATTAACAACTTTTTTTTAATTGTTCCATATAAATAAAAATAATAGATGTACTTATGAAATACATAATATACTGATACTGATATACAAATACTTCACTGAACAAAACTTGTCTAGTGAATTTTACTATTGGATGTAAGGGTGCTCATTTATTTGAAGCAAACTTGAATGAATAATGAAACATAAACATATTTCCACCGCGATCTGCTGCGTATATGAAGTACACTGTGATTTGGGATTTTGTTGTTTCACTACCTCTAAATATAGTTAGCATTACTTCTTAAAATGTGATGCATCTGCTTTTCCATTGGTCTTGGACCGGTTTGGTTGTTGAGGTTTTCAAGTGAATCAAATTAACAATCCTCTCCTACAGACCACCAGAGAGAGTTTTGTCCAGTCAGCACAAACACACACAGAAGGAGTATGTGAGTAAACTGTAATTACTACCGCCATAAAGGGACACTAAGTGATGTGAGTGAATGTGTTGTAACTCTTCATAGTCATCAAAACCAAACTACACAAACACCCATGAGCAATAAAATACTTAATAAAGCAAGACTAAAACAAGTACACTTACAGGCATTTGAGTACACTTAAACCATGTGACGATGTATAATTGAAGAAATGTAAAATAGGAAGCGGAGTCAGCAAAGCTAATTTTCTCTAAAACAGATATAAAAGTCCACAGTAGAGCTCGACCGATAAATCAGCCAGCCAATAATCTCTGCCGATATTAGCATATCGAGTGACTACTGGTATCAGCTAATTTGATAAATGCGCCGATATTACTGGATTTATTCACCAGTTAAATATAATTTAATTTGATTATCATTGTATTTCAGTATCAGTTTTCTTTCTCTCGTATTATTATATTATTCTCGTATCGGTCTGACCCTAGTCCACTCCACAGCGCTTGGATTTCTGTTTTTTTTAAGGTTTGTTTTGTTCTTTTACCCCATCCTGCACTGAAAGAACAATTCTAGGTAACAAGGCCATCTTTTAACAAGGATTTGAACTTGAAGATGCAAAGTTTTGGAACCATAGCTCTTAATCTACACAATAACTCCTGTAGTTCCTCACGAACAGTTCCTGAGGGCTTTTCAGTCATACAGTTATTACTGGAAACACCTTTTCCTACAACACACTTCTTTGCCCTCTGTACATTTTGCCCTTTAGACTGTCCTTACACTGGACAATGGTCGATGTTGTACGGTGTAGCTGCTGTTTTCTTTTTTTTTTTCATGTTTACTTTACATGTGTGTTGGTGTGTGGGTTTGTGGGTTTGTGGGTGTTGCCTGCCTGGTTGCGGCTCTGGGTCTGCAGCTTTCAGAGGACTGAATTTATGTTATTTGTGTATTTGTGGGTGTGTATGCAGGGGAAGTGGTGTGAGGGTAAGTTGGTCACCTGCTCTGATGTAATTTTTTTTTCCATTCATAGACCTCAGAGGCAAAGACTTACATAAAGCTTTAATGTCTGATAGTTTAGTTATATTTCTAGAGGGTTAACATCATGCCAGCTAGAAGAGTGATTTTGAGTGCATTTCTAAAAACAACTTCCTGAGCAAAATGTGTCCAAACTTCAGTGAAAGCTCAGATCGAAAAGGTTGTTTGCAGTGAATGTTAAACACTGACTTATTCCCCCCTGATTTTTAGACCTAAACTAAATGTTTTAATGTGGCCTGGGGGAAGAGAACTTTTAGCATTTCACAGAAAATCAACCTAATAAATAAAATAGTGAAAGTTATTCAGTTAAAAACCTTTTTAATTGCTTCATTATCAGCCAATTATATTTCATTATTGGTCTCCCATTACCATGAACTCACAAATTATTTCAGGAGGGACTAAGTTTTACGAACTAAAGTTAAAAAATATTGTATGCTTTGTCAGTAGTTTCCCATTTGTAGAATATTTTAGTCAATTAGTAGAAAAGTTATTTTTAGGGAAAAGAGACAATATTTACATTTTCTTAAACTTTGACTGATGCTTTTTATTTCTTTGCCTTGAATTCTCATATGAATGGGATCCTACAATACCATTACACCTACAGTATATCTTTCTCTCTCTCTCTCTCTCTCTCTTTCTCTCTCTTTCCCTCGCTCTCCTGAGGAGGCGGGATTGGAGATTGGACCCTGGGATGTTTCCTGTCTTTCCTGCTTGATGTTTTTTTTTTTTCACTTGTAAAGTTCACTGTGTCCAATCTTTAATCTGGCTTTATGTCTGGCTCGGCTCAGCGGGGGCTCAGGATGTCAAAGAAGTAGCCTACTGGTTGAAAGTATAGCTTATAATGTTTGCTAATTGTCTCGTTTTCTCTTCCCCCTCTCTCTCTCTCTCTCCATAGCCGGGCGCCTTTGGGGCTCAGTGCTCTAACCCAGCCATGAGCATCATCGGGGCTGAGGATGAGGATTTTGAGAACGATCTGACTGATGTGAGTGACTTATGGAAAGTTAGCTCCATCATCTCTCAGCTGTACTTTTATTATTTTATTTAAATTTTTCTTATTTCTGTTGTCTCTATGCTTCGATCATCTCTCTCAGGTGGCCGATGACCATTGCCCAGCCTTCAACTTAATAGAAAACTTGAAGTATCGGCCGACCCACTTGCTGGTCTTCATGCAACATGTCATTCTACAGTTTGACCCTGCTCCCCTGGTGAGATCTCTGTAATGTACCACCCTGTACAGGATCCGTTTCAGGCCTGATTTCAGCCATCTCACTGCACAAGTCTGAACAGATCATTTTTAATCAATGCAGTTGTCTACACAGTCCATATCAAGTCTTAGGTTACAGCTGCTCTTTATAAACACAATCTGAGCATGGGAGCAAGCACCGCGTTACAGTGTGTGTGTGTGTGTGCATGAAAGAGAGTGAGCACTCAACCTTAATGCTCTTTAGTTGTTGTTCATTTACCCTAGGTGATGAAAAGGGGGGAAAAATGATCAGTAACAATTATTATAGTTATAAATTAAAGTATAGTTAAAAACTTCAAATATTTAGTGTATTGACATCACAACCTGGAAAGTTGTTGATTTTTGTAACTCTTTACATACAAATTATTTATCAATAATTATTATTTTTAATTAATGCAAAAATGCATGGTTGCATGTTATGGTATCAAAATGTCTAATTTGTACAGGAAGATGTCTGATGGATTGACTAAGATCAGTAGAAGTATGCAGTAGTTGCAGACACTGATCTCAAACAAGCTGCAAAAATTAACAGAAGTTTTCTTTTTCATTAGACCCTCAGCAAATGTGTGTATTTGGTAGTGTTAGTTCACATGTATACAGGAAGTAGAGAGAGTGTTGTGCATGACCAAAGGTCTTCGTTTGAATTGAACTGAAGGCTTTGCGGTTACGTGGTATTTATCTGAACCACAAGCCCACCTGGATGCCTCTCATATATGTGTTTGTTTAAAGAACTGAACAGTGATGACTTAAATAACAATCCAAATTAATCTTTATTTAAAGTCAACCAAGTTTTGGACTCTGGCATAATCACTGTGTAACAAGTACAGTCCTTTTCACCTGAGCCCCTCTAAACACAAACAGTCAGTTTTTTTTTTTTTTGTTTTTTTTTAATATCATCACCCCCCCCCCTCCCTAAAAAAACATGTTACAAGATGAATTGTACAGCTGTAACTTAATTTTTTTCTGAAGTATGCATTAGAATAGTTTTTAAACAAGAGTGCACTTTCAGCCCTGTTGTGTTTGTGTGTGTGCACCTGAATACATGTGTGTCAGTGCTGACATAAAGCATGCCTGTGCTCTCCCCTTTGTTCTGCATGCAGACACTGTGACCCACCCAGGTACTGTTACATGTCCCAAAGTCGTCGTCCCCCCCCCCCCCCCGATCCTTGCCCTCCCCTTCATTACCCCCCTAACTTAAGGAGGTCTGTGTAGAGATAGTGTCAGAAAAAACATGTTTACATGAGGATAGCATCTGTGTGTCCACCATTTAGTGAATAATTAAGATTAACATATATGCACTGTTCTGGCTGAACTGATGATGATTATTTTATGATGTCTTGTCATTATGATTAGTATTTGATAAACAGCTCAGCCATTTGTTCATTTTTATATCAACATCTGGACTGGAACCACAAGTAGAGATGCATCAGTAGTGAAAATCAGGGCCGATAATCGATGTGAAAAATAACAATTTAGACGATTGCAGATCCTCTCGATACCAATGTTTTTTCATTACTTGTTTTGGTGTAAGACTCCCAACTGGCCAACATTTTCTGACATGTTTGACCTTGAAATCAGATCAGAGTTAGTCCAACAGATGACTTTAACTTTAACTAAGTGCTTGCCAGCATTAAATTGATACACAACGTCAGGTAAACATTGGCTCCTGACATCGGTTCATGCCACATTAGTTGCCGATGGGCCGAGATTTGTGAGACACATTTTTGTTGATGTGATGTCAGTGCTTGACTTCATCAGTGATATTAACCACGCAGCTTAATGTACACAGAAACAGGGCAGAGAAACCTTAGAGTGTATACATGCTCAATATTCACAGCTAATGAAACTTTAAATATGTTTGGCTTTCTGTGATCTTATGTCCATCTCTCTCCTCTCAGCTGTGTTACCTTCATGCTGAACTCTTCAAGAACCTCAGTGCCAAAGAGACCAAGAAGCAGTTTGTGGAGTTCTACAACACTTTCTTGGATAAGGGTGCAGTAAGTAACACACTACACAACATTTACTGTAGGACACAGTCTGTACGGCACTGAAACGGAGATGCAAACAACTTATTGTAACACTGAATGACTTGGGGGGAAGGTTTATAGAGTTAAATATAAACTTACAATAAAGGAAATATAATTAAACGGTTCATTAAAGTCATAAACACAGTATGTCATGCGTCTAAACAAAATTAGAAAAACCTTATTCAACTTATATTGCCTAAATGTTTGAATGTTTTTACTGTATTTTGCTCTATTCACGCACTCTCTTACAGAGCGAGTGATTTACAGTTAGCACTTTTCACTTGAGGAAGCTCAGTAAGTTTGATGACCTGAAGAGACCCCTTTTCATTTCCCCTCAGTGTGTCTGGACTCTTTCACTTTTTTTTTTTTTTTTTGGAAGTCAGTCGTTGGTTTGGACACAGCAACTTTATGTGATTCAATTACTGTAGCAGATGGACAGCACTGCTGATTACTGCTGCAGATTTTATAAGACTTGAATAATCAAATTTATATTTGCAATATTTTGTGTTTTAAGAAAATGTCCAATTGTCATTTAATGATAGACTTCAAGTTCAAACTCACTAAATACTTTGTAGCTCTGTGTGTTATTGATTTTTATGGTATGAATGATAAATCATTCAAGGTGAAGGCCCTCCTGCAACATAGATAATTGATTCTTTCCCTTTTTGTTGTATCAATGGGCTTTTGATACGGTGCTTTGCTGTGGTCTTTAAGTCTCTTGTCTCTGGTGGAGAGAGGAACACGCTGTGTACACACACTTTATTTGCGAGTGCACAGCGTTTTTCTTGGCCCTGTTTGCTCTGTCCCTGCATCACTCTTCACTTCCTCTCTGTCTTTCTCTGTCGTCTCTTCCCTTCACACCTGCTCGCTGTCAGCTCTCTGTTATAATGCAGTATCCTCCTCACAACTCCTGCTCTGTACATGTGTGTCACTTGCTTGCCTCTCTGTTTTTTTTTTTCTCTCTCTCTGTCCAGCCCCACAGCTTCCTGTCAGGATCGTGGGAAAGCCCTTTTGTTGGCCCTCTCTTAGCGTGTCTTTTTTTAACGCTTCTCTTTAGTAAACCCATTGACTTAAACTTAGCCCATGTTGGCCCCCCGACCTGCTCAGAGCGATGCACTCGCCTCATTTTGAATATGTATTTCAATTGGTTGTTTTTTATTTGTAGTGTTGAAATGACCCCTTGTGGTGTAATGGTGTTACTGCACACTGTATTTGGCTTCTGTTAAGCAGTTTAAAAATAATCAAAAACATGTTAGTCATTAAGACTTTGACAGGACTGCTGTGTTAGAGTACATACGTTTTAGCTAAATGTAACGAAGAAACCAGAAACTGAGAGTATGGTAGATAAAAGCAAAAAAGATTCAATCTTCTGTTATGAATTCTTAATTTTTCTATTGTCTCTACTTCAAATATTCTTTGTTCAACTCTGTATTTATTATCTTTTTAATTTTTGCCCTTCAGATTCTCAGAGTGGCCATCTGCCCTGAGATATGCTATGAACTGGGTGAGTTATATGTCTTTGTCTTGTCCTATTTTATTTTTGTATCCAGAGCAATTATGAAGTATTTGATAAATGCACACGTCTCAGCTTCACCCTCTTCTGACCTTCTCCTGGCCCCCTTCTCTTAGACCGAACTCGTCCAGATCTGCTCACTGAGGAAACCCAAAGGCGTTTCGCTCATGAAATTCAGATTCTGCAGGCTGCAGAAGTGGCCAAACAGCTGGAAGATTTCAGGTGAGAAACCTGATCCCTTCTCTAACTGGGTCCTAACCCTCACCCTTCATGTGAGCATTGAAACAGTAAAACACACAGTTTGGAAGTAGTGTGAGAATGATTTTATAACTATGAAGATATTTAAAAGTCAGTAGTTTAACCCTGAGCGGAAATCTTTTGGTCTTTATATTTGACACCACATTAGCTTTGCCAGTTATGAAAAGGAAAGTAAATTTAGATCATTGTAAACATCTGTTAGAGTCAAACAATCCTGCATGCTTTCCACGCTGCTTCTAGAATATATATTTAAAATGTTCTGGCTCAATAAAATATAAAGTCTTGTATGAATTAAAGTTCAAGAGGTTTATTTAATTTATTTATTAATAAATGTAATTTATAGGATTTGGACGGTGCACATGCTAAATTTTGTCCATAGTCCTATAGCAGGTACTAACAACAAACATTGTTTAAGAGGAGGTGTTCACACATCCAACTATCTCATGAAGTAGGTGCATAGGACATGAAACTATCACATTGAAAAGCAAAAAATCCCCCACACTACTCTTGCTCTGCATCACCAATTTATTAGAAAAAATCTAAACCTTTTGGTCCCTCTGAACCTTTGTCAAGTGCGTTCTCAAACTATTATTACATGATCTAAAGCAGACAATGCTCCACCTACTGTGTGTGCTGAGGTGAGGGCACATTGAGTCTAATAAGAGTCGCTCACCCCAATATCTACCACAATGTCTACATCTACAATCGTGTCAATACTGTAATATTGTCCTGCTCATGAACATGAATTCTGTAAAACTTTACCTCATGTATATTAACCATCTGTTACATGATCACACATTTACTATCAAACTCATCTCAGCATGTTTGCACTACTCACCACTGCACTATTTTCTTATTTAGCCTTTTCTATGTTAGTCTTTGCTCATTTATGTCTATAGTGTGTGAGTCTAACATTAAATATAGATATTTAATGTTGTACTTTTGTACACTGAGAGCACAGTTGACTGACGCCAAATTCCTTGTGTGTCTAAGCACACATTGACAATAAAGCTGATTCTGATTCTTATATACGTATGAAGGCAAGAACACACATTTGACTGGCACAAGAACAGAGAACATACATTCATAATAAGATCAATGAGACTCTACCACACTCACAAAAAACATTTTAAAAAGTACAATTCCAAGACAGCTCACAGGGTAGTCTACAGGGAATCACACAGAAACTCACATGTTAATTTTCAAAATGGACACATTTTGTTACATAAGAAATAAACAATTGGCTGGTTTGAAATGCAGGATGGGCCAGAAGCCCCATGAACGGGCACCAGGAGTGAAGACAGATACTGTATGAGCACAGGACTGTTTTTTTTTTTTTTAACCAGTTTTCTTTTAAAGGTTAAGTAAGCATCACAGACCCTGATATGAATTTGTAAAATGATCCAGGAATGTGTGTCTCTAAATTCAAGGAGCATAAACAGAAGAAAAGGTCATTTTGATTTTCTTTCTGTATTTCATTGTGTATTTAACTTTAGGATGGGCATTTAGTTTGAATGTAAATCAAGCTTAAACAACAAATGTCAATCAAGGAGAAGATATGAAGAAGAGGTAAGTTCAGCAGTCCCTCTGAGCAGATTTAGAAGTGTTATGATGAAGTATGCTGTTTGCATGGTAATACACTGAGAGGCCTTCTTCATTGGCCTTACTTTATGTGTCTGCTCATCAGGACACTTTCATCTGCATCTTGTAGCATTATTTGTTTTCAATATCAACCTTCATCCTTCTGCTTTGTTTTACAGGCAGAAGAGGATGATGGGTATGACCCCCAACGAGGCTGAGCTCATTGATGTGGACAGCCACTATCCCACCGACCGCGTCCCCATTGAGATGAAGGAGAAGTCTGTGGCTGAGAACCTGCTGGATAAGATGTCTGAAACACAGTGAGTGTATTTCTCTTAGACTGGGCTTTACAAAACCAATAAAAAAAATTAAAAAAATTAAAAGCACTGCCTGTTTAAAAGAACTATTGTAGAACCAGGCTGTTCTTGAAGGATACATTCGAATATATTGTGTAAAGACATCGTTGGATGAGTGGTGTCTGGAGCACTTGGATGATCATGAAACTTGCACAGTTGAGTAAACAGGAAAGCAGTAATCAACTTTTTTTAAACAATACTTGAGTCCTTGGTTAAAAGGTTAGACGATTAAAATCCTGCATCAATAAACACTAAAGAAGAAGGACAACTGTGACTCCCTTTGAGCATTTTGCTTGTCTGTACTGCTCACTGCAATTCAGCACAGCTGTTGATCCGTCCCGACAGCATGACTGGAACCAAATATGTCTTTGCTTTTTGTATGTTCAACTTATAAAATGTTCTAGTTATATCATAAGCTGTGCACATAGCTAATCAAGTACAAATCTGACAGACAGAAACACAGCTGGAGAGGGAGAAAAACAAGCTCACTGCACTAGAGAACCACAGAGGCAATGGGGATTGGAAGAGAGCACAATAGAGTGAGGAAGGAAGTGAAGAGGCAGGAGGAGGAAAAGATGGAGTCAGCAGTGCCACGCTGGCAGGAAGGCCCTCTGTTGGCATTTTGCCAACCAGAGGGAGGGATGGTTCTGGTGGTGATGGTGAGGGGTTAACACAGTCAAAGATAAGAGGGGCAGAGAAAGGGCTAAGAGAGGTTTATCGCATGCAGCATAGCACCTGCCCTGGACACAGTTAAAGAAAGAAAAGCAAGAGATCATGAGGAAAGTTAATCTATCCTTGACCCCGTGGCAGACTGTAATGTGTTATCGCCTGCAAGAAGCCAGTGAGACGGAGAGGGTGAGCAGGCTGGGGAGAGGGCAGAGGACTGTCTAACTTCATCTTGTCAGGAGAGAGGGGGGGGAAAAATGAACAGAAACAAAAGAAGATGCACTTGACAAAACAACACTGTCAGTGGCACACCTGCAAAGTGAACTCTATCCAAGACGGGATAATTCACACAGCCTGATCTCTTTCTCTACCAACAAACAAACAATTCTTTCACTTCTCTCTTTTCATCCTCCCTTACAATCATTGCCCTTTTTTCCCTCTCTTACACTCCCCCACACTCTTGCACCCAGTAACCCCCATCAGACACCCCCCCCCGCCTCCCCCAATTCCTTCCACAACAAAGTGACCTCGCCCCAGCTGTTTCTTATTGGTTTCTCTCATTATGAGAACAAGACTGCCAGACAATTTGATTGGATTATGCAGGGAAATCCCGGGGAAACCCCTCCCACCCTTTATGTTCATAGCAAAACACCAGTATCCGATTTCCACAATATTGCCTGCCTGTTGCATCAGACTAAAACAGAGTTAAATAGACATTTCCGCTTTGCTGGACCATTCTCGACTCCCTTTGCAGACAGCTTACAGTACAGACAAACCGAGCAGACAAAGTTTTAGACAGTCTTAGTTTGACTTATTTGCTGGTTTCTGAGCGTGCTCGTTTAATTTTGATTATTTCGAAAATTTAAAGAGGTGCAGCTTTGGATGCATCTTTTACTTTTTTGATATATTTTCTTTTTGTTTTTGTTTTTCTCCTTTTCTTTCGTGCATATCTTAGAATATGTTCAATAGCTTCTGCTCTGAACACAATAACGCATCAATCAACTTGGAGTTGGATCAGGAAAAGCTTAGTTGCTTCAGATTTCACAGGCCTAAAACACACTTAACTATCTGTAGAGCAAGAGAAAGAAAACATGCTACTTAAAAGGAAGAGGTGAGCTTTATGCTGCAAAATGAGAATCCTGTTTTAGAAGTTTTTCTTTTGTAATAGGAAACATAACTGACAGACTCTCTTCTTTCAGACCCTCTATCGTCTCAGACGAGGAAAAATGGTAAGTAAAGTTGTTTGTATTTTTAAAGTAGTCCAAAGGTTTTGCATGAGTGATGAATGTGAGTGTGTAATCAAATGTGGCTGATTAAATACCTGCATTCCCGCCAAGCCTGGGTGTGTCCGAGCCAAAGAATTTTGCATACTGCGTGAATTCTCATTTAAAAAATGTCTTTCTGTAGGGTTCTCTTAAGACGATGTCTTGTCTAATAGCATACATCTTGGCACTTTCTTTCAAAATGCTCTTGATCAAAGCTATTAAGGGAATCAGATGCATTGATAATTTAGAACTTCTTGATTAATTTATTGCACATAAAGTAAATTACTAAACCATGTCATGCATACTTTGTATTCCCTCAGCAGATCTAGTTCTTAATGCTTGGAGTTCTTTATGTTGCAGGCAATGTATTCAGACTCTGTAAAACGGTGACTGCTGATGCGAGACACTTGTGCTTTTGTTTTGTGCATATCCCCAGAGGCTCCTCCCTCTGGTCCTTTTTTTCTCCCCCTCTAACTCCTCATATTTCCCCCGACTCCTCCTTTTTCTTTTTGAAATCTTTTTTTTCCCCCTCACTGCTCTTTTCAGCTCCTCTCTTTCTGGATTTCTTTAACTCTCCACTTCTGTGCATTTATGCATCCTCATTTTCAACCTCCTTGCACTCGCCATTCTGTGCATGTCTTTCAGCATCATCATGACTGACACCAGAGACTGTGCAAATACACTACAGACTGATTCTTCTAAATGAAAAAGTTTTAATTTTTCTCCCAAGCATTGCCCTGAATTCAAATGAGTTTATTTTCCCCCAAGGAAAAATATCCTGTCACTGTGAATTTAAAGAACTAATATTACTGGAAGTATTACAAATGATTAATCAATAGTTTTCTCTCACTTTTCCTGTAGCCAATCCATCTTTGCAGCAGTGGTCTTTTACATGAAGCACCTCGGTGTTAAAACCAGAGCAGTCGACAGTAAGAAATCCAGAGGAGGCTTCTTCAGGAGGCAACTGGTAAAGGTACGCTACCATCTCCCACGCAGAAGGATTGCATTAGTTTAACATTTCTATACAATATGGTAATTGAAGTCATTTAAAAAAACTGGTTATCAGAAATTTCAATTACTTCACTACTGTCCTTTTCATTCAGTCTTTTTGGGTTATCATTTTTTATTTTGAGCCATGAGATGTTCTTCTTTATTTTAATAATTTTTCTATTTACATTATTTAATAAAAATGTTCAATTTACTCATGTTTCTTTTTTCTTTCTTACTTTCTGTCCTGCCTGCGTTATCTTTCAAGAATAAGAAGGATGAACCCTCAAGGTCCAAGCCTAGAGGAGTGTTTCCAATCCCCAGCTGGATTGCAGGAAACAGTATGTATCTCTTCTCTCTCTGTACCCTGTATTTTACCCGGGCAATCTTAGAATGATTTTTCAATTTTTTCAATGAATTTACAATCTGTAAATGAACATATTATGTATATTTATTATTGTGCATTAAAGTGACATAAATACATGCAGTATTTCTAAATGTTGATGTCCATGAATGATTTGGATATGAGAACTTGTTGTCCTGCCCTTCTCTCCTGTTACAGCTGATGTCAAACCTAAGACGGAGGCTGAAGGTACTCGTCATCCACAGTTCCCACACCCTCCCCTCTTATGTGTAGAAAGGTCACATCCCTACTAATCACCCCATAAGCATGTCTGCATGTCCCGAATCAAACTGGGAGGGGATGTGGGTGGTTGTTCTGTGAACCAAAAACTTAGTAGTACCAAAAACTTCACACTTCTCTTGTTTGCAGCCCTGTTGGTGTTCTCTTATACCCTAACTAACTAACCCTTTCATTTACAACAGAGGGCCTAATTGCACTGTACTCATCCTGTTTGTGCGTCTCTTTTGACTGAAGTGCTTTTGGTTCTATTTTTTCTGCACCTGCTTTTAGCTGTAGTGCAGCTATCCTAAACAGTTGCTACTTTTCTTCATCTCCAGCGGAAAAGGAGAAGGTCAATCCAGAGCGCAAGGGTCTGGCTCCTGGCAGAGGCTCCTTGACTGACTCTGCAGCTCCCTCTATCCCCAGCAAGAAGTCTGGTTCCAGTGCAAGCCCCGCCTCCCTGCCGGGGTTGGAGATCAGTGACGGGTCAGGCAACAACATCATCACCACCAACAGTCCTAAATCTTCACAAACCGATGGTAAGCCTGTTCCCTGGGTTGGTTTGATGAGCTCTAAAGTGTGCCACCAGAGTGGTTTATTCATTACAGTCTTTTTTTTATCAGCAGCTAGACTCTCCTCACAGTAGATTTAGCTTGTTTAGCAGTTATAGTGTTAACCATATTTAACTTGTTCGGCTTGATGCAAATATTTAGTGAAGATTGTAAATATATGCTGTTAGAAAAACCATCAGAAATCAACTAGCTTATTCAAATGTCACATGTTAATGCCCATACTTAATTCTATCCATGTTTTGGAACTTTTTGACAATTCTTTTTGATCACCAGAAAACTCCCCTAAATCCTCTGGCTCACCTAAGACTACACTTGTGTGTTACACATTTTGTTAGATAATTTGGCACCTGAAAAAAAACATGTCGTAATTGTACGTGTTGTTTACTTTTTATTCCGAAAAAATGCAACGTGTAACCCCTCATTTGTTCTGTCATGCTCCCTCCTAATCTTCCAGGGCTATCAAGTAATCGCTTGGAGCCTCCGACTCTGTCAGACGGAGGCGACGTGTCACCTGTCGGGCCGGCTGGAGGGCTGACTATCGGGGAGACTTTTTCAACCAGCGAAACTCCTGCAGAGGAGAATCTGGAGAAAGAGAGGTGAGGAGGATAGAGACGGTACACAGTAACATTCAGAAAGTGACAGTATAACTACATAATTCCAGGAGAAGTGATCGTTGTCAGAATATAGTTAGACTGTATGGGACATGCTCAGCTAGAACAAAAAAAGGGGGAGGCGTCTGAAGTGCTCAGGCTGAGGGAGCGTGGTAAAACTCCCCCAGCTGTCTGTCCCTGCTGTGTGCAAGCTTCTGTCATGCTGCCCGTTGCTCGCTAGCTAACAGAGCCTGCAGTTCTGTGAAGGACCCTCAACAGGTGAACTTGGACCCAGTCTTCCCTACAAGCCCTATTCCCTTCCTCCTCTTCCTGCCCTCATCCATTTTCCCTCTCACAATGGCATGTATGCTTTCTTCCTAATACCATCCTGTCCATTCTGTGTTCTTTAATGTGTCCTGTTTCATGTTTGCAATGGAGCTTCATTGCATTTTTGTTGTTGCATTTAGTCGTTGTTTGTGCAGTTCGGATTGTCTTGTGTTTTTTTTTTTTTTGGATTTGAGTAAAATTTAGGTTATAACTTCAGTGGTTTCTTCCACACTTAGCCATGTGTACAGGGCCTGATAAAAGTGGAGTCTTTCTCTGCTGCAGCTTTCTACCTTCTAAGCAGTTTTGGCTTTTTAAGGCAAGCTAGAGAATGATGGTAACATTGCATTCATAATTTAGTCTTAAGTTTGGTTTTAAACAACTGTATTTCTCCAGATAAGTTTAAGAAAGGGGAGCTCAGCTTGACACTGTGCTTATTTTAGTTATTTATAAAGCAAACTATAGGTTTATACTTAAATCTTTGTCACTCACCTCATGTGCTTTTCAAGGTGTCTGCATATGTTGTGGCCAGGGCCCGTCCTCTGTCCTGCTTGTCTCCACAGTGTGTGTGCGGTTCCATGTTGTGCCAGGGGCATGGCATCGTATTATTTGGCATGCTACTCTGACAGTGGTTCAACTCGTTTGGTATACAATGTTGAGTTTGACGTTGAATGTTATGGTTGTTACTTACTGGCTTGCAGTGGTTGGGAGGAAAAAAGGCGAGCAAGTAACAATGTGGTGTCCCGTGTTTTCACAGAAGGAAGAGGTGGGTGTCTGCGCCTTGACAGAGTCATGGACATGCTTCAGGCCTTACGCTGATCAAACAACACACAAACAAAGCATACACAATCACATGCAAACACTCCTCCTATTGAATGATAACATGACTGATTCACAACACAAACACATGGCTAAGTATCATGTACCTGCCTGTGAAGGATTTAGCTTGATTGTTGAGGTCAGTTGGATCATTTTTTTAATGGATGTGATGCAGGTTGTATGGATTTTGAGAAATGTTGACCGTTAAAGTTGGTACAAAGATGATTTAGAAGCAATGCATGGCTACTTTTTGTACTTATTATTCTACATTGGCTCATTAGGAATGTCAAAGGCATTCAAGTGGGGCCATGCTTATTGTTAATGAAGCATACTCTATATGTTTAATTATCTATACAGTATATGCATGTCATATGTCACGCATATTTACTTTGCATGATCATAACATTTTCTGTTTTTGATGAAATCTTTTCTCTTTTTGTTAAACATCATTTGCTCTACTGGAATCCATTTCTTTGCCCTCATAATTTCCACAAATATCCGTGTAAAAACTGACTGCATGTGACTTTGATATGATATGTTCTCTTCTACTTTCCTTCCCTTATAAAACACATCTTCCTTCTTGTATCACTTCTGTCTATTCTTTTGGCATCTCTATTTTTCTTCTTTCCATCATTTTGTTCTTTATTTCTCCTTGTCCTCACTCTTGCCTCTTTTACTATTTGCTTAACTTTCGATCCTCTCCTGCATTTCTCCTCGTCTTTCTTTTTCTATTCCACTTCCTCCTCCCTTCGTCTATTTCCCTATCCCTTCTCACCTAATCCTCTACCCATCCTGTCCCACCTTACTTCCCTATAGTAGGAAAGTGGGGCGTAGCGAGAGTGCCCGTGTGGACCGGCACTCCTCACGGCGCCGCGGCTCTTCCCGGGCCAAGCAGTCTCGCTCTCGGAGCGATGTGGACCTCCAGCCACCATCTGCCACGACGACGACACCTTCACCACTTAACCCCCAGCACCTCCATCCGTAAGATGGACAAACCCCTTATTAAAGCCTCTGTGATCAGAGCGGTGCACAGCAGGGACAGACAGGATTTCAAACACTGGCAGATATGAAAGAAATCAGTTTGACAAAAAAAGATCAGAATCAGAATAATGGTGGATCAAACCCATCGGGCTCATTCAGAAAAAAAAGATTTGTCAAGTTGTAAGGGATGTTAAAACCAGTTAGAAACTTGAATTTTATAAAGGGCAGTCCTCCATTGTTCAGTCTGACTGACTTTTAAATGACTGTCTGACAGATTTCTCTTTAACCGTTGACCTGTGTTGTGACAGACATGCTGTGATTTACAGTTAAATCACAATTTTCTCTGGTAGGTCAGGCATTAAACTCTCAATTGCAGGGGAATGATTTTTTAATCAAGTCAATGTCGATGATTGGGTAAAGATTAGGGCCTTTCAGTCTTTCATGAAAGGTTCATTAGTGTGTACCATTATTTTTCTCTGATTACACAACAGGATCAATCGAGCTGTGTCATACCTCAGAGGGGGGGGTAGTGAAAAGGTGAATGATTCAAAGTAAGCCATTTTTATAATAATGAAAGCACTTTTAGTTGTTAAAAAAAACTTCATTTGGTTTAATCACCTTAAATTTGGAATATTACGTTTCAAAGCCAGTAAGCTGAATGCTTTTGCAGAAAAATATCAATCCCAAGATGCATCTTCTTGCTGCTATTAGATTGAAGTCTCAACTTGTACAGAAAAAAACAACATGTCATGGTGGATTGCTTATCTGCTCGAGGCTCAGGCTAGCTTTTTACCATCCCTACATTATTGAATGATAAGACATCCCTCGTGTGCATATAGAAATACAGTCAGCTGTTTGTTGTTGTTGTTGTTGGTGCACAGCCAACAACCACCATAAGAGTGTGAAGTCTTAAGTCTCTTTACAGTAAACTGGGTCATACTTAAAACTGTGCTGTATGATCCTGTTTCGCAGTTCCGATGGACTGGTTTTAAGTCCCGAAGGGCCCGGCCACTCTCCCACCAGCCCCTCCCCACAGCTGGAGGAGATGGAGCCACGGCTCCTGGAGTTCGAGCAGGACCCGCCCAACTGGAGGGAGCTGGCCTCCCCTGAAGCCCTATCCAGCCTCAGCAAGAAGGAGACCAAGAGGCAGGAGATCATCAACGGTGAGGAGGAGAGAGGAAGCAACATGTGATAAAAAGGAAAGAAATGTGTAGATAAACCAGGCTGCAGTGTGTGCTCTCCTTTATTCTGTGTCTGCCCCCTCTCTCCTCTCAGAGTTGTTTGCGACTGAGCATGCCCACATGCGGATGCTCAGTGTCCTGCAGATGGTTTTCTCCAGGCCTTTGGAGAGAGAAGAGCTCCTGACCGCCACAGAGCTGGCTGCCATCTTCCCCAGCCTGGATGAGATCATTGAAATGCACTGTGAGTGTTCCTGCCAGGAGGCTGTCTTGATTTCGAATCTTGTCAGGGTCAGACACATGAACTGGCTGTCTAGTGCGCTCCCTCCAGACCGAGAAAACCATGAAATTAATTTGTTCTGTGAAATGAACTTGAGCTGACAGTGTGAAGGTGCTTGTGTTGTATGTTAATCCAATGATAAAGGCATGTACTACCTGATTATTTGAACAGGATATAACTGGATTTTAAAGTGTTTAGCACCCAGCCTTCAACAGTGCTCTCTCATTGTGTTAAAAAAAGTACCAAAAAAAAAATGTTTTTGTTACCAGATAACTTCTACGAGAACCTGAAGGAAATGCGTTTGAATGACAACTTTGTAGTTAAATCCATCAGCACCACAATGCTCAACAGAGTGAGTCATCTTTCTATTTATATCACCCTGCTCCCCTTCTCTTAACAACTCAAACTGATATATCTGCTGATTTAATTAAACATCATTCTGTGCTGAAGTCTCATTTTGTAGCTATCCCAAGTGCTAAATTCTATTCATCACGATGATAAAGTTATCATTCTACTGTGTAACTTTTCCAGTCCCTTCTCTGCCTACCCATCTTTTCTCCTCTTGTTCTTTACTTCTTGCCAGCACAACATAGTGTGATATTGTGTGTTTGTGTGTTTGTGTGTGTACGTGTGTGTGTTCCAGTTTGGAGGCCCAGAGGGGGAGTGGTTCCAGAAACTGACAGCCCGTTTCTGCAGTCACCAGTCGTGGGCCTTGGACCAGATCAAGAGCAGGCGGAAGAGGGACCCACGCTTCAACTCCTTCATACAGGTAACACACGCACACAAATACATTTATACACACACACACACACACACACACACACACACACACACACACACACACACACATTGAACAGGAAGTCACACATCGATGGGTGCATTCTCAGATACATGGACAGGCAAGAAATAACATAAGTGGTTTGAACATTTCAATCCATTCACACTTTGTGTGTGTGTGTGTGTGTGTGTGTGTGTGTGTTATTGTTTAAATCCCAGGAGGCAGAGAGTAAGCCCCAGTGCCGCAGGCTGCAGCTCAAGGACATCATTCCCATCGAGATGCAGAGACTGACCAAATACCCGTTGCTGTTGGACAATATTGCGAAGAACACAGGTGTGTGTGTGTGATTTTGTGGCTCACATTTGTGTGGAAGGTAGAATGGCCATTCCATGAAATATTAACATTATTTATGAGACCGTTTGTTTGTTTGTGTGTGTTTTATTAATGCTCATTATTTTAATCTACAAAAGATATATGGGGTGCTGGCATATATTGAGGTATATTAAGCAGAAATTTAGTTTCCATAGTAACTTAGAAGCGGATCATGGCTTTGCGGCATCTTCCATTGTGCTTTAAGACATCCACACTGAAAAACACATTAGCATAGAAAATCTGTACTTTTAATATCATATGTTATATTAATCAAATTGGCAGAGAGAGAGAGAGAGAGAGAGAGAGAGAGAGAGAGAGAGAGAAACCCTTTTGAAAGTAACATAAAGGAAGTTTCATCCACTGATGACCACATGTTTGATTTTAATGCATTGCAGTGCGAGCATTTTTAGTTAAAATGCAGCAGTGCAGTATTCAAACATTTAGCTGTATCTGTCAATCTATATCAGAACACAGGATAAATGTGGGTAATATTTGCCCTCCAGTCTTAAGCACACCAACAAAACACTTAAACAATCGATAACTGTCCGTCACCGAGTCTCGTGTACCCTCGTGATTTATGGCTTTAGTTTGGACTCCTCTGTGAAAGCTATATTTTTTTAACCTCTGTGTTTTCTGTCTCTCCACAGAGAACTCAATGGAGAAGGAGAGGATCCAGCAGAGCGCAGAGTGCTGCAAAAAGATCCTCAACCACGTCAACGAGGAGGTCAAAGTGATGGAGAACCTATTGGTGAGAAACACACAATCCATCACTCAGCACACTGTTATGTGGTGATTGAGCACCAATTGGAGTCTGCTAAATTCATTTTGAGGCCTCTGAAGGTCTCTGCTTGTTAGACGACTTCTTCTGTCCATCCTCCGTCTGACCCCCTCACCTTTCTCTTTGTCTGTTCCCAGACTCTGAAGGACTACCAGCGTAGATTGGACACATCAGGGCTCAAACCCAGTAATGAGCTTTATACTGAATATAAGGTGAAGATCTTTCAGCAAAGTTTGTGTACACTCGCTGTTGCAAAGAAGTGCTCCCACAATTTTGCTGAAAGAAGTTTCTTTCTTTTCTAGAACGTCGACCTGACCCAGAAGAAGATGCTTTATGAAGGTCCTCTGACCTGGAGAGTCACAAAGGAAAAGGCACTTGGTAATTATTTGATTGTGTGAGATAACGGACATAAAACTGCCTTGGGTACATGTTTGTTTTGTTACTGGAATAAAGACAAACAAACATGTTCAGGATCATTTTAAACAAAAAAGTCATTTAAATTAAAGGGGTCATATTATGAAAAATCCAGTTTTACAGTGTTTCTGTGTTTGAACATATATTTGGGTAACCTGAGTGTCTACCGACCCACAAAATGTGAAATAAACCCATCCAGTCCTTTGTTTGTGGTCTGCATAAGTCTTACAACACAGAGAAAAATGCTCTGTTTCAAATTTGCTCAACTTGTGACGTCACAAGTTGGATTCTGGTAAAATAATCCCTCCTCTCCCCTGGTATCTTGGCCTAGAACAAAACTTTTGCACAGGTCCGCCATTTTTTTCCTCGCTACAGAGGAGTGATGTCTATTGGGAAAACTCAGGGGGGGGGGGCTCATTGCATTTAAAGAGACACACACACAAAAAAGGAGTGTTCCGAGAGAGCTGGTTTATACAGGGTCACAAACCTCCTCTGGTGCTCGATTCATGTTATATTTTGACCACAGCGCAGATGATTCATTGAGACCACAGGAGACTGTTTGAAAAGGTAGAAAAGGGCTGTAATATGTCCTCTTTAAACAATGTATTTGGACGGACCAAACGGCGACATCTGGTGTTGAAAGTGGAAGTGCAAAAAAACTGCAGTTCCTTGACTGTCCACTTGAGGCTGGCTCCAAAAATGATGAGCTAGAGGGGTGTGTTTCAGGAACCAAGGTATTCATGCAGAGATGAATTGAATTTGCCTTTTTTTAATATGGTGACCCACCTAGTTGTACTTCAAACGCCTCTTTAGAATCCAACGAATGACATCACTGAGGCTACGTACATATTTTAAACAGACTATGGGAAGGCCGCACCAGGCTCACTTGGATATTTATTATCTTATTTGAAGTAATACACTTTGAACTCTCTGGCACACAGGCAAAAAAAAAACAAAAAAAACAAACACAGAGCATGGTTTATTCTGGGATATTTAAATTTATCAATGTTTCTGTTTTCATTTCCCTTTTTTCAAATGTGAAGATAAAGGTTTGCTTTAAAAAGAAAACCAGCTGCATTGCAGGGGCTTTTTAAGAGATCTCAATTATTCTGTTAACTTCAGTTTTTTTTTAAGTTTAAATTGAATGCTGTTACTTTAGTTTAATTTCAATTCTCTTAATTTGGTAAGGTCCTATGCAGCCGTTTTACATGATAATCAAAGCCATTCGCTTTAAAAGCTATGTGAAATTGGTTATAATAAATATATAATGTAAAAAAAATCTAAAGCTATATGAATTTAAAAAAAAATGTCTCTGTGTCTCCTAGAGGTGCAGTGCGTGTTGCTCGGGGATCTGCTGGTGCTTCTGCAGAGACAGGATGATAAGATGGTCCTCAAATGTCAGAGCAAGAGCAACATCGCCATTCAGGAGGGAAAGCAGATGCTGAGCCCCATTATCAAGCTGGACTCAGTCTTCCTTCGAGAGGTGGCCACAGGTGAGCCTTACAAAGTATATACACAAATAAATAAACACAGTCACTTCCACTGCGGGATCAGTGTAGCTCAACCTTCTGCTTCTTCCTGTTAAGATCGAAAGGCCTTCTATGTCATATTCACTTGGGACAGCGGGGCTCAGATCTATGAACTGGTGGCTCAGTCGCTTGCAGAGAGAAAGATGTAAGTGTCATTGAGAAAAAAAAAAAAAAAAGGATGAATCATGTTTGTACCAGCGGGTAAATCATGATTTGTGTTTTTGTGTTTGCAGCTGGACTGATGTGATTAAGACAGCAGTGGATGATCTGAAGAAGAGCGGAACACCCTTAAAGTTGACGCTGCCTCCTGGAAGCGGAGGACCTCCCTTCAGTCCTTTCTCGTATGTGTGTGTGTGTGTGTGTGTGTGTGTACCTACTCTGTGAATAAAAAACAAGATGTATTCATCACCTGCCAGAGTTCACCCATCTTAAAATATCTCATTTCTTTTGCCATCTTCTTTCCGTCAGACTGACTGCCCCTTTGAGCCCGACGGAGAATGGAGGTTTGAAAAGCAGCAGTGGTGAGATGGCCGCGCTTCATCAGCCAAACACTTAAACAACTTTGTTATTATTTCACATTTCTAAGATCTTGAACCAAACTGAAGGCCTGCCCTGTTTCTGTCTTCAGATCAAGATAAGGACAGCTTGACAGATGATAAGTCCTTAGACCCCCGGCACAGGCTGATCGATTTCCTGTCGGACAAAGGCTTCGACTTGATCGGCCACTCAAACAGCGATCAGGAGAAGGTGGCTAACAATGCTTTGGATGAAGGTGAATGGAGGTCCTCCTTTTGCTTATTATAGATCGACTTTCATTAAACTAACTGCCCCGTCTTTTATAGCAGCTTTCATGTCCTTTTAATAAAACTGCCGTATGTGTCTCCTGCGTTAGTCATGTTGCTGAAAAGGCTGTTGATCGGCAGCATCAGCCTATCAGAAGACTCGCAGCCTGATGAAGAAAACGCAGAGGACCAATCAGAGCGGACCAGCCAAGAAACAGATGGCTCTCTGTCAACAGGTACTGCAGATATTATTGTAACTGACATTTTGGGAAATACATATTTTATTCAATGTCTTGCAGTCAGGCAGATTAGAAGATTGAAGCTAGCAGTAACTTGATCTTAAAGTAAAGACCAGCTGCAGGAGAATAAGAAAATTTGCCCATTTCATCCATAAGATATGCTCTTTATAAATACTTTGGAGGTGCAGGTGGGCTATTTTCGAAGTAGCCAGACTGGATATTTTGAACCTGTTTGGAATCATTATGCTAAGCTAAGTTTATATTCTCCTAGCTGCAGTTCATATTACAAAGAGAGATGAGATAGTGTTCATCATCTTTGCATCTGAAGAGAGAAAGCTTTAAATCAAAGGTTTAAATGGTGTGAAATATCAGTTTAACTGGTCTAAATCCCCAGTAATTCAAAACAGAAATGACTCTTGACTCGTCTTAATTGAGTGTTTGCATCCTCAGAAGACGGCCAAACCACAGACAGGGCAGCGCAGGAGGAGGACGAGAACGATAACTTGTGTGAAAAAGAAGGTGCAGGGATGAAGGGAGAGGAGGAGAAGAGCATCAGCGCGCCCCTGGTGCTGTCCCAGGAGAGGATGGAAGAAGTGTGCAGGAGGCTCCACAGTCTGCAGGAACAACTAAATAGACTACAGGTGAGGGGAGGTGAACAGAGAGAGAGACATGAGAATGTTGAGAAAACCTTGCAGAGAGCAGATGGTATGACGGGGCAGATAAAGATGAGAGACATAACAAAAGATGGGAGCCGGCTGGAAAGAGACACACATTCAAACATGGAGGATTTCACTGAGGATAACTTAAGTAAGGAGCGAGCTGTGGTGTAGTTTGGACAAATGGGGCCAAAATGGCACAAAAGAGAAACTAGAGAATAGAAAACCATTTAACCACTGCTGTTATTGCTTGGCTCAAAATTGCTTTGTGAAATTGGACTTCTCTGAAAATGGCTATTATGTCCAGCGCTTGCAATGGGATGTGTCAGAGAAGCAGCGAGGGAGACGAAGAGAGGATGTTAAGAGGAGGAGGTTGAAGTGTGTGTTTTTGTGTGTGTATGTGTGTGAGAGAGGGGGGCTGAGGGGGGATGCAAGTGCCTGTCCTCGGTTCCTAAGGTGTTATTGATTTTGTGTGTTGCAGACTGTAGAGGAGGAGCACCACAGACTGCAGGAGGCCCTTTCCAAGTTCTCTCTGGAGGGGGGAAACTTCCAGTAAGACACCACCACGCCACCTGCTGGCCTTAAGGTGAGAACACTGAGGTAGACATTTAAAGGGAGAGAAGACAAACTTATTATTAACTTATCTTAGCACTTTTATAATTTTTCCTGTTTTCATTTTTAAGTTTCTTTCTTTATGTTATGTTTAATTGTTGGTCCTCCATAGTTCTGGGGAGGGAGGGAGAGAGGAAGAGAAATGGGGGTCGGAAAAAAAAAAAAAAAGTGCGAGTTTGGCATTTCTTTCTTCCTTCCTGTACTACATCAACATTCATTATTTGTGTGTCTAACTGGACCTGAAACTGTAATAGTAAAAAGGACAAATACAGGATTTGAATATTGAGCAGGGGAAATGTGTTTATCATGAAGGTCATTGACTGTAATGTCTTTATTTTCTTCTCCTTAGATTTGTACTGATGCTGGTTTGAAGTGCAAGAGTTCCTTTCAATGGCTCTACCTGGAAAATCCTAAATCCTCACACCTGGACCTTTTGCTGCCTAAGAGGGGCTTTTGTGCACAGTGCAGTGGTTCAGTGATGAATCATGGGAGGTGTGTGCAGGCGTAAGTGCGGATGTTTGTGTGCATTCTTAATAGAGTGGTACACATACAAACGGGACCTCCTGCTTTTGAGCGGGGGGTTGTTTTTGTGGATGGGTGCCAAGAAAACAAAAAAACTAAAGCAATATATTTTTTTGCAGTGAGGAGAGATGCTGCCTAACAAGAATCTTGATTGTGATCTGCTGTAACACACATACGCACACCAGAGACACGCATGCCAGAAAATAAATTACATTATTGCCAAAAGTAGATGTACAAAAGATGAGAAATGAGCTGTAACCAGGTGGAGCCTTAAAGGGCCAATGTAGCGTTTGACGATTTATTGAAACTACTACTGCTGATATCTAGTGTTATTTCTAGTTCATGCCAAAGCACCACAGAGATGCACTTTGTTCAAACTAAAACAAGTCGACACCCGCACTGTTTTTTCAACATTTACTTTATTGCTCTCTATTCAATACAGTCTGGGCTTCATGTAAGCAGCCCGCATTATTTAGAAGATTTCATTCATGAAAGTGTGTGTATGTGTGTTACAAAGTTTTTAACTGCTTGTTTGGAGGGTTCTTATTGTTCTAAGGTCAAATAGAAACATTTATAAATAGTGGCACTATAGGTAATCAGTGCTGTCAGTAATGGAGATTTGTTTTTATTTATTCCTCTGTCGGGTCTGTGTTGCCTCACCTGAGTGAAACTGTTACAGCACTGGGCCAAAGGAAGATGGAGAAGTGAGACGGAGAAAAGAAAATACATATGAGAAGGTGAACTGATAATGTGTACATTAGATGGAGGTAGAGAGAGAAGGGGAGCGATGATGGGATTGGGAGCGAATTCAGAGAGAGGTTGGGTTGTTGCTTTGGTTCATTTGAAACTAGTTTGGACACGAAAACCTGAAAATAGGATTTGCATTCACTGGACTGGAGTAAACATAGACACACACAGAAAAGTACTCACAAAAGTCTCTTAATGTTGGCTGTCTACTTTCCCCACTCAAGGTTTACATCCCCACGATCCAAACCACAGACATAATACATCACATAATATGACTATAGAGTCACAGTAGAAAAACAGATTTTCTTCCCCTTGTTGCAGCATTTGCATCAAAATAGAGCCCTGTCTGCCTTTGTTTTTTATTCAGATTGATTGTACTTGTGATTATGATAGTGGCATGACTGTGTCTGTGCACACAGGACCAAAGACGTAACAAAGATCCTCAGACCAGCTGTTATTGTCTCGCTTGAACTATGTAGTGACACGATGCTGCCAAAATCCCCCAAAACTCCAACATGTGGTCAATGAAGTGAAGGGATTCAAAAAAGTGTGTAAAAGAATAATTCATTGGCTGTCGTTAAAATGATCTGGTTTTCAACTCTTGGATAAATGTAGAAATTACAGAGATGACGATTGTCAGACGTCCCAAGCCCTATGACCAAACCAAAACCAAATGTATAGTTCTGTCATTCCCCGCATGGGAAATGGTTCCAGCAGTATAAACAAAAAGGACAGGACTACAAGACAGTGAAGTCAGACGAGGGTACAAAGGAAACTGAAAGTTTGGAGGAAGGAAAACAGCAGTCTCGTTCCAAAGTTCCCCTCAGCAGTTCTGTAATCATGATCACTTCCTGATATGCATTCTCATCCCCCTTTCACCTTACTGAATCTCAGTATGAAATTATGCAAATCGTTTAGTTCCATAATTCCTTTGACGGTCACAAGTTAATCATAACAGCTTGTGTTATAGCATCGCTGCAGTCTCTTCCTGTGTCTTCCTCTTGATGTTGAAGAAAAACAAAATGTTTAAAAAAAAAAGTAACAATTATCACCCCTATTTTCTTTTAATAAAGCTAATTAGCGGCACATCTTGATAAGACCCTCACCTGTGACTGCATGATCACCTCATTCTTCACTGTCCATATGTTGTTGCATATTTCATTTGATTTACTTTTCCGGGCCCATGAGGTTTTTGTTACTGTTTCCAAAACAAGCTTTTGTAATTATGTACTGTGTATTTGCCCATTGTGAAGAGAGAGGAGAGGCTTGTCTGTAACGTTGTCTATGAACCAATGAAATTAACAGAAATGAGTCCAGCTCCCAGTGTCCACCCGCTCTGTATTGTGGTGAACAAGCTAACCAATGGGATACATTTAAAAGACATCATCTCACACCAGAAATGTAACTTACAGGCAATTCTAGCTCTCTCCTCCCTCCGGATGCCTTTTCCTCATGAGTTCTAAATACAAATACCTAGATGTATAGAAATGTATTTATAGAGTGGCGCCTTGTTCAAACGATCAAGTTGTTTTCTGCATAAAGGGCTCCTGAGTCTGTAAACACAATCAAAGTTGTTCTGGTAAGGCTGTGACTCTGACCTCTGAGTCGAGATATCGACCAAAAAAGCATTGACAGGTCAACCCAGGATTCAGATTTTGTTTCCAAATCCATCAAATCAATAGGACTCAAGCCCTCCACCAACTCAGAAAAAGACACTGCTTATTTTCTTTTGTTGACATTTTGTCTATCTATAAACAATGAATATGCAAGAACTATACTGTGTATTTGGCTTTTTGATTTTTATTGTGTAAGATGCTCTTTAATGATGTACACTTCAGGAAAATTGTGGTACGTTCTGTTTTTTAATTCTTCATTTTTTTTTTTAATAAATTGGGGAAATAAAATCCTGTCTTGTCATTTCATACACTTATAATCATAAGCCCCATGTAGTTACAGGTTACAGGTGAGTTGATTTGACTCTGTATGGGTGCTCTCTAGTGCATTCAGCTTTAACTTGCAAATGTGGAAAGTTCCAAATCCACTGAAGCGTAAATCCTGACAGTGAAAAGCAAGAAAACCGTGTGTTAGTGCAACAACAACTTAGACTGTCATTAGTGTTGTATGAACAATTTGATCTATTCATTCACTATTGTGGCCCGTTTCCTCTCAAGATTAAAACCATTTTAAGCAATGGGGACAGTTACAAACGTTCTTCTCTGCAGCTTTGTTGGTGAGTCAAATCAATTTAATACTCACTATAATCTTTTCTTGATACAATGTAAAAAAAAAAAAAAAACAGAACAGTTTATGTTTGTGTCTGTGTCGAGGCAATTATTTTCTTGGTTAAGTAGAAAATAGGCTTTTCTTCATATTAGTTCATCAAAGCTGAATATTTTAAAGTACTTTATAAACGTATCCTTTGTTTTTTTATATATATTGAGTTCTGCTTCAGTGAGCCAAATCTCCTGTCAGAGCAGGTGGTGATGTTATCATGTTACATGTTGGCTCCAGTTTAGTTAGTTATTGTGAACATTTAAAGCTTGACTTATTGTCTCCATGGGGGTTCTCAGTAAAACTATCATCTTAAGTATTGCTGCTCCTTCCACAGTGGTCATCGCTCAGGCTGAGGTGACTTTGAAGCCAGACAGGCCCTTTTTGTGGGTGCAGCCCGGACAGACAGCTGTCCTGGAGTGCTGCTACACCAACAAAGGGAAGTTGGAGAGTTTCAAGTGGATTCGATATTTTCGTGAAGGCAACCACACCATAGGTCCAGCTAATGTGAATCTGACGGACCTTGTGACTCAAGATGTAGACTCCAAAACATCCTGTGGCGTTCTGAACTTCCTCACGGTCCAGCCGGAACACTCTGGCATGTACCAGTGCTGGCTGAAGGACAGTAAACGCTTTACGCATGGCACCTACCTGCACGTCTACAGTGAGTGAATGAGAGGAGCTTTGTGTGTGTGTGTGTGTGTGTGTGTGTGTGTGTGTGTGTGTGTGTGTGTGTGTGTGTGTGTGTGTGTGTGTGTGTGTGTGTGTGTGTGTGTGTGTGTGTGTGTGTGTGTGTGTGTGTGTGTGTGTGTGTGTGTGTGTGTGTGTGTGTGTGTGTGTGTGTGTGTGTGTGTGTGTGTGTGTGTGTGTGTGTGTGAAATGGAGTCAAGTGAGCTCTAAGCACTACTTACACCTCATAAGCCATAAATCCTGTTAACTGACGTCTAACTGAGAGCTGTGTGAGTGGCAGCAGCCTTACATATGTCAGCTTTGTTCATCTTTATATCTTTAGGATGGTCTCATCACAGTCTGCTGCCCTTTCATTTCCTTTAAATAGCACCAAGATTAGATCAGGCTGTTATCAAGCTAATGTGCCGAGCATTTGTCACACATTATAATCTTATTAAAAGACAGATGTGCAGAAATGTAAAACGACCACTAAACTCCTCTGGGGATTATGTGTGAGATACGTACTACATGAGTGAGTTTTACCTAATGATGCGTGATATATCATATGTGTAAAACTTCTTTAACTTAATAATGCAGTTGTAAAAAGACCATAAGATTCACGCTCAGTTCCTTAAAAAAAAGGTGTGGTATGCAAGTAAGTGGTTTTATTTGGTTGTCTGTTTTATTAGAACCGGTGGAGAAGATAATAGACCTGAGTGAAGGCACCAAAAACAAGATCCTTATGGCTGAGGGAGTGTTGCTTTTATTTTGTGTGCTCCTGCCTTCTGCCATTCTTCTCTACCAGGTCAGTATGCCACCTTGTTATGACTGCCTGTATGTTTTCTTAATTTAATTTAATTCAAACTTTTAACCTATTTAACATTTATTAAGCCTGGAAACCCTCACTGAGATTAGAAATCTGTCTTCCAAGAGGGTCCTGGCCAAGACAGACAGCAGCACAGTTAACAAAGTTACTGACAAACAACACACAGCCATAGAAACATATATAGTATAAGATATAAACTCTCATTCATCCAGGTCATGATAATATACGATAAGTGACTATAATACATTTAAAAAACATGAAATGCCGAACTAAAACTGCAAATATAAGATTGCCCTCAATTTCCAGACAGAACATCTTCAGCCAGATATGTCTGCCTCACAGTCATGTAACATCCACTTAAAAGCATCCAATAAGAGCATATCATTACATTTCAGATATTATGTAATTTTGTTCCAAGTAAAGGGAGCAGCAAACTTTAACGCCTTTCTCCCCAGTTCAGTTCTGACCTATGGAACTGACAGTGAGAAAAGGTCCTGGGACCGAAGATAATAAGTCCCTGTAGATAAGAAAACAGCAGACCATCCAACGTGTGCATATAATCTACCATGATGAGTGAGGGCTTTCAAATGAGTGCTAAAGCTCAAAACTGAATGATACAGTGTCCAGAGCAGGTAAGGTTCTTAGAAGAGGTGTGCATATGTAAAACATCAGCATTGTTAATGTCTTCTTCCCCCTCACAGTCAAAGAGACATAACAATCTGGAGATGAAGAAAGTGAAGATGCAAGAGGAAAACATATATGAGGTGAATATAAAAACGAGTCACACCCTCTCTGAGTCACAGACATATCATGACAAGTTCATGAGAAATACAAGACCTGTTTTTAAAAAGGGAACAAGGATCGGCATGGACATGTTGTGTGACTAATCAGTTGACATCAGCCATTGATTTTTTTGTTCTTATTTGATCTCCATCTTCCTTATCTCACACAACAGGGGCTGAATCTGGATGATTGCTGCACCACATATGATCAGATTGAACGCTCGCAGACACAGGGCCAGTACCAGGATGTGTGCAATGTTATGGAGGAAGAGGAGGAGATCCAGCTGGAGAAACCTTAAATCAAACGGAAAAAGGGAATGGAAGAAAGTGTATAAGATAGCTGAAGTCTAAGTGTGTGCTTTCTTAGTATTTGACTTTTGCCGATAAGAAACAAGAGATAAGATACTTTAATGCCATTGTGTAAATGCAATAGAATTTTCTTGGTGACAATCAGCCCAGCAGCAATAGACAAGATAAAAATACAAACATGCAGATAAAAGATAAAGAAATAAAACAGCATATATAACATAAATATGTAGTGCTTTTGCATATTGGGTCCAATTTGTGGCACATTAAAGAATGCTGTAAAGAAAAGTCCCTAGCAGCTGTTTGAAGGTGTGTTGTGTGTGATTATGTGCAGGGTGGGGGTGGTGGTGGGCGTGGCTTATATTATCTAGGTAGGTTCTTTGGATGAGGCTCAAGATTATATTTTTGACCTTGGAAACAGCAGTTGAAAAAAGAACATCTGACTAAATGGTCCAGGATCATAGAAACCCTCCATCGCCATCATTCTACATATGTATGTTATATAGATCTTTTTTATTTTTTCTTCGATACATAACGCTTCATATGTTTTGTTTTAAAAAGGTTTGTGCTTTGAAACATAAATATGCTACATTTGTTGTCAATCAATTTTGTTTTCATTTTTTCATCTGATATATCTGTCTCTTATACAACTCAGTGTTTGACCTATAGTTATAATAAAGGGAACTTGCTTGTAAATTCATATACCCAATTCCTGAAAAAATAAATACAAGTTTTTCTGACCTTTCAGTCCCCTTCAGCAATTGGGGGTTACTGCATAGTGATTGTAGTAAGCTCAAACTCAATATAAAAAAAGACTGCTGACAGAAAAACCCCTGAATTGTTTAAAAAACGTAGAAAAAGTTCAAATTCTTTACAGTAAGGCAAACCAACATAGGCTACTAATGAACATTTTTTTTTAATGCTCCAGAAAGGTTTAAGTGAGATTATGACTTTTTGTAGGCCTACCTTCTTTAACTTGAATCATATTTAAGCTGTTAACATAATTTCTTTCATTATTACTGAATGACTTGGTCTGTAACGAGTTTTCTGCTTGTGTGCTCAAAGAATAAATATGTGTATCAAAAAAAAAACGCGTAAATGCCTCCATAAAATGTCTTTAAAAAAAAAAAACACTAAACCCCTGCAAGCTCTGCTGAATGAGCAAGGACTCACATGTCCTTTGCTAAACTGTAAAACCAAAACCAATCAATGGGCGGACACTTGTCGTTATCTGTGTCGTGATTGGCTACTGGACCATGACGTAGCCATTCCTTCGATTCCATGTTTGGTGTGGGCGGGGTCACCGCGCTCCCAGGCAGGTATGTAGGAGAGATGTGAGAGGCGGTGCGTAAACAGAGTGGGCGAAGATGGCGTCGAGCAGGAAGAGTGGTGGGAATAGTAGGTTTGAGAAAAGTGTGAATGGGAGACGCTCGTCGAAGCACAAAGAGGGTCCAGTGGGTGAGTTTGTCTCCGTGTCACGCTGACCTCGTCACAGCCCCCCCCTCCTCCTCCTCCTCCTCCTCCTCCTCCTCCTTTCACTTTTAACTCTTAACATCCCCTTTCCGAGCTGTCACCTCTCCCGTTAGCAGCTTTGTTAGCTCGCCTACGGTAGCCCAAGTGGTACTGCGAGGATTTAAGCCGCTGGTTCTGTCTCAGCTGCTCAGGTCCCGTGATTGTTTGTGTGACATCGAAACGAGGAGGCACCGTGAAAACCTTTTGCGTTTGAAAACCTGTTCAATCTCCTTCTCTGGCATGTAGGCTGTGTGTGGTTTGAAGCATCTGTGCTACAGTAGCGTTATGTGTTACAGCTGTGAATGTAATGTCATCCCTGCAGTCGTTGCTTAGAAACGCACATCTATATATGCTGTTTTTTTTTTTTTTTTTATGACAATTTTTCTGTTAGCCTACCCTAGTCACAGACGCTGACACTGGCTGGACACACCTGCACAGGTAGGCTACTCCAAAATTCAAGAGGAGAAGGGAGAGACTGCACTGTAACTAGATTAACCTCCCGCCCCCGTCCCGAGTGTTATACATGGAAGTGCTGTGCTTAAATCGATTAAGGTGAATTGGCAGATCAGGTCCATCTGTGGGACATGAGAGCCGGCTGACACATGATGAGGAGCGTGCAGACTGAAGAAGGAAAAGACTTAACAGGAAGGACCTGAAGGCATCGTGGAGCTGCTCTTAATACACTAAACAAACCCTCTCTGTTGCCCTGTTCCGCTGCTAAATAAAACACTGTCTCACTTCTTTGAAAAGGCATCCTTGGCTTTGCAGGAGCCCAAACACATTGGCCTACATTGTTTGTTTTAACTACTTTTTTTTTTTTTTTTTTTAAATAGTTCCACTTGTGTTTTTATGAATGGGCTGTCTTTATTAGTCTTGGGCCTGTTTAATGAGCTTAGAAGAGTTTAAACTAATCCTAAATCTTTTGGTGAGGTTGCTGACATGCTCAGTCTTCATCAAACCTGAAGATCAGAATCATAATCTTTTATTTCAGCTAAGGTGGTGCATTATGAACTAAAAGGAAACTTTGTGTGTCCCGTTAGTATAAGGGGGTGTGGAGGCTCATTGTTGCCTGTTTCCTGTTGTTCGGTTTGGCCTTGTGTGTATTAAAGTGCTCTGTCTGGGAGAAGGGTCAAAGCCTCCTCAGCACTGCAGTACAGAGCCCCTGCTGTCGGTGCTTCCTCTCGCCTGTGCAGTGCTCAAGTTTGCTATTTTTAAAACCCGGCTTCCTACATGGCATTCTGTAGAGTCACGTACCAGGCAAAGTTCAAAACGACTGAACAGGTAACATAAGTGTTTTACCTGTGACACTGTCGGGCCTCAGCAGAAGATAAACCAAAGAGAGTCATTACTTAGAAATGACCTAGACATGAACAGCACAGTTCATAAACTGACATAGCTTAAAGTCTTCTTAAAATCGATCACACTGGAGCCTGTACATTTAAGGGATGTTGTAAATGTAAACGAGCAAGTTTTTCCTGCCGAAATACAAATATTTGTTTGCTTTCCTTTGAACACAAGTTACACTTTCTTGCAGGAGTTAAAAAAAAATAGATATATGCCATTTTGAATGCATACTAACCTATGCAGTGGAAGATAGTGGGAGCTACTGTAAGATTATATGGAAGGACACAAGTGTCAGAATATGAATTAGCTTTGAATTAACATGGAGCGCACAAGACTGAATATCTGACTTGTTGAATGAGGTTGCAACATGACAAAAAAACACTGCTATATATGCAATAGTTGGACACAGACAACCAGATCTGCAGATAAAACTCTTGTTCCAATTGTATTTGCCTGTTTTTATTTTGCTGCTTAAAGGCATTTTGCCAGCACCTTTGCATCTTGATATTTTTAGTAGAATGACACGGGTGTTATACTTATAACGTCAGCATTTTCATACACTGTACATCGTTCTAAAGAAAATCACAACAGTGCGACAGGACGTCACAAACAACAAAACATGACCCTGAAACCAATACAGCTGTCATTAATTCAGTGAATTACACTTGGGAATTTCCTGTCGCAACATGTCAAAACATGTGGGAATGACAACATGAACCCTCTTTGTGGAATGAATGACAATAATTACTAAGAAAACAAATACTTTTCACCAGAGTTATTATGTTTCTCAGTGTTCCTGTGTCTCTGTGTGTGAAAGGTCAGATTTTAGTTCCTTGAGTAATGGGGACTGTCATCTGTGAAATCAGAAGTATGAGCTAAGGTTATATTTTCCCTTGAAAAGACCCTCTAAAACAATATGTACTGAATCAATCTCTTTTTTTTTTTTTTTTTTTTTTGTGCATGCTTTTTCCACATTTTGAATTCTTTGTCAACAGTTGGCAGATGCTCCACGTTTGTACTGCAAACACAAACAGAAAATATGTGTTTTAAAGGTGTTTCCATAAATGTTATTAAAGAGAATCACAGCTCCAACACATGGATGACTGAAAGATGGCACTTGGGACTTAATATTGATGAAATAATTTAAAGTAAAAATAAAGTGTCCAAACGTTTTTGGCTCTTGTTAGCAGTGTCAGAGGATTTTCTCCCCCAATAGTGTAAAAAAGCCAAAGAGGAAAAGTAAGCCCTCATTTTTGGTCTCCTATAACTTTTGTATTATTACTTTTTCTAATTTTCAACGCTTGTTGATTATAAGAACTTTCACTGACATTTCTTTTAATCACATAGTTTTTGACCTTTTGAAATATGGAAAAAAAACCTTCCAATGCAATAAAAAAAAAAGCCAATATTGATGTCATCTCATAGTTTAATGGCTGTGTCCCTGCCAATGTCTTTCTGAATGAGATCTGCCAATTCGGTTGAAGGTCACAGGGAGTTGCAAGCTGAACAGCCAATAGCAACATAAGCTAGTGACACAGGGAGAAAGTTAACTGGGCTGAAGTTGCCTGTAACTTCCCAACCCTGTCTAAGAGACATGGGAGGGACTAGCAGAGAGGAAAGAAAAGGGCAGCTGGTCGTCTCTGGGTGGAATTGATTATGACCGGCTGACAGGCAAAGACCCTCATAGTAGATACTAGGGACAACAAAACCAAACGGAAAAACAGTCGTGTTGCTTTCCTCTGTGCCACCCCTTCCTCCCTCTCTCTCATTCTCTCTTTCTTTTCCCCATATGCTCTCGTTGCTTTCGCAGAAGAGAGGAGACAAACAAGGACAAAGCCTTGAACTCAGACGCTGGTAAAAAAAAACTCTTTACTTTTTTCTCTTCTAGCTTTCCAATAGCTAGTCCATTTACCTTTCCTTATATGCTTTCCCTGCAGCAGGTCTGTTTTCACTCAGTTCACACAGTATCTTGTGGCCCTGTATGAGTCATTCTGTGTCTGTAATGTTGCTGCTGTGTGTTGTTGTACATGACTAATTAATGCTCATTCATTTTAAATGTGGAGACACCAGGTACACTTGAACGCTGTCAGTGGGTTCACAGTGACTCCTGTGTCAGTGACACATGAGGGGATGGAACACGCTGCTTGCTATTGATAGAGGTAGCTTGTTGTAAATGTATTTACTGGAGCACCATAAGGCAGGAGGCAAGTCCTGTTTTTCTTCTTCCCATTGATTCTTTATTGACAGCTACACTGTGTAAGTGTGGTGGTACCTTTGTTGCATTCGGTGAGCTCTTTGAGGCGTCATCCTTCATCAAAAAAAGGTAGAGTCATCACTGGGCCTGTTTGAACTCTGAGTGAGTGCTCCGTTAAGATTGCACTGCCTTATTTGCATTCCATTTGCATAAGATAAACTCCCTGCAGTAGGACAGGAGGGGTGTAATATGCATGGGCTTCATTATCATTAAGCAAGGTTTAAAGCAGCTTATGCTGATCCAGAGGTTCATAAAGTTCACGCCTAGCTTACTCTGTCAACATGCAGCGTATCGGCTCTCCCAGCTGACAGAGTTGTACCCCCCAGCTCTAATTAAGCAATGTCATTTAAAGTCTGGCTGCTCGCCCAAACAGGTCTTACTGCTATAGCCGGTCCTGCAGCACGGCATTTATGTGGCTGCTTGACCAAAGCAGCCATTGTGTCCCCTCAGGCCACGCTGCAGATTGTGTTTATGCAGACAGATGAATGTGTATTTATAGCTGGTCTTTGTGTGTCTCTCGTGGTGTTTCCAGATTTATGCTGATGTAATGAGCTGAGTTGTTGCACATTGAGTAACTGTTTCCTGACTTTCAGAACATTTCCCTATTCAGTGTGTGAACTGCTGTTTTTTTGGCCAAATCCTGAGGTGGAGCAACATTTCAACTGTTTTTCTGCGTGTGCTTGACGTAAGCTGTTGAATTGTTTTGACGTGACGTGAGTAACCGCTGTACTGAACGTCCCCGTCATTGATCCGGATGATGAATTTGTATGATTAATGTTTTCTTAGTGTGAGTGGATGGAAAACTCTGCTTTACTCATGCTGTGTGCCGCCCTGATCTCTCCGCCCTGCCAAACCTCTGCAATCTTTAGAGTCAGCTAAAGGTAGAATCTCCATGAAAATCCAATCCACATTATTTTCATAAACCTCTACATCTTAGCTTTGTTTGTACTCAAAAAGCAAGAAAAAAACCTCAGCTGTATGGACAAAACTAATTGCGGATGCATTAGGTTTGCTCACTGCTGTAATCTCTGCGTTCCAGTTTAAGTCATTTGGATGGAAACTCTCTGAGCTTTGCCCAAGCCTTAGGGTGTAAGTGTGAATTCAATGTAGACGAATCAAATCGATAGTTACATCCAAATCTAACCAGAAATCATAAATAAAAGATTCGCTGAGTCAGTTAAGGGAGACAGTTGGCTCATCTTTTTTTAACAGTATACAATCTTTGTCAAGTGTTACTTAAATGTTTCTGTTTGAGTTTGCACGAACCTTTTGATGTCATGAGACAGAGTGTGAAATTGCGCTTATTAAGCATTCAGGAGTAGATAGAACATGAGATTGTATTGAAAATGGTGCTGCTCAGTGTAGCTGGCTCTTTTGGCTCTGTAGATTTGCTCTGGTTGATCTCTGATCCTCAGGGCAAAGTGAAACCTCCTGGAATCATTGGGACATTGCCTATGGGCCTCATGGGAACATTATACACATACAGGGGACGTCCTCTTTGCTGGATATGATATCAGACAGGACATACAGTAGTGGAGGTATGACAACATTTTTCTGAATGTATGATAGTGTGAACACTTCATCACCTTTATTTTGGTTTGAAGTTGAGAAGAACCATTTTTTTTCTCTGTTTTCAAGTGGTAGGTCTAGTTACTCAGTCTGATGTGTTCCCATCCAGTATGTGTTTAACATAATCTGAAGGGGCTTCAGTTTTGTTAAGTGTAAAACATTTTTGATGACATCTTTATGGCGGTATGTGTACAATACGGTGCACAGCCCAAAGTTGCTATTACATCATTATTCTGTGATAATTAATAAAAGACTATTGTATGATGCTTCATCACTTTATCTGATTAACTGAAGAATATAAAATGCCCCTAAAAAGGTAAAGGTATAATCTTTGAAGAGTGTTTATATATTTTTTAAATGTATTATTAAAACATTATTATTTGGTAGAAGTGATTTGATAATTGTATCACATGAGTCAGGTAAAGAACATGCTGCCAAATCAATATTTGACAGAATTACATTTATCAGATGTAAATTATCCCACACTAAACTTTTAACTGTTAAAAATGGGAAACTCTGAGGAAAATGAGGAAGTGTGTCGGTGTCTCCGTGTGAGTGTGTGTGTGAGTGTGTGTGTGAGTGTGTGTGTGAGTGTGTGTGTGTGTGTGTGTGTGTGTGTGTGTGTGTGTGTGTGTGTGTGTGTGTGTCTGCTACAAGTCATCCAGCTGATAAATGTCAGTGGGTCGTGATTCCTTTCCACAAACTGAAATTGCCTCTCCCGTTAGTCTTCCTGAGAGACAGGGAAAAGCAGAATAATTGCACGATAAGGCCTCCATTATTACCTTCACCCTCAAAACAATATTTCATTTAGTGGAACCTGTTTCGTTTTTTTTTCAGCTTGCATAGACAACCTCTGCTCCACATCCCCAGATGTCACTTTGAGCATTTGTTCTGAATCTTAAAACAATGTTTTAATGTTTTATTTATTTTCGTGCTGCTTTTCTGAACCGGACCCAATTCCAGGCATGTCTGATGTCATCTGGGATGTTCATGAGATATTCATGACGTAATGAAAGATGATTAAAACAGCGTAGTCTTTCTTCAAGAGTCCTCTTAAACTGATCGCTATCTGTTATCTGCCATCTCTCCATGCAGTTTAAATACACACAAGTCCTGCAATGTAAACGGTTAACACTTCTCAGTAACAGGAACATCTTCCCTGAATGTATCCACCAGGAGTCATTGAGGTCCTCTAATAAAAAAAAAAAAAAACGTTTTAATTATTCTTAAAGAAAAATACAAGGAAGTAGGAAATGGTTTTCAAAAAACACTGTTTAAGAAAAGTTAAAGAGTAAAATGGACCAAATGTAATTGATCCTGCATAAAGTCAATTAGTATACATTGAGAAGTATGTACTCAGAAATAAACACAGAAAAAAAAATATTATAAGCAAACTGTTTTAAGATTGTTAGTTGTCTTAATATTACAACAGTTGTTTTTCTTTGAATCATTTATACTGTATATCTCTTCATTGTATTGTTCTTTCACTGTTTTCTTCTCTTTTTTTTTTTTAATGGCTGCCCTCCTCCCAAAAATCTCATCCGTTAGGAACACACAGCTGTTTAAATTGTCTCTCCTTTTGTTTTGTTTCTCTGCACGTCCCCTCTCCCTTCTCCCATGTACTCTGTCTCTCAGCATGCTAGTCACCCTATACAGTAAGTACCAGCTGGTTGTCTGACTTGGTGGTGTTGTTGTGGAAACAGAGGTCTCAGGTGGTGGAAGAGCTCAGTCCAACAGCAGGAATCCATCAGGGACATAGCACTGGATCTTTGTTTTGCTGCATTAGTGCAGGGATATGAGCACACTTGATAAACACACACAGCTGTATACCTCCCTTTGGGACTCTCATGTGAGTGTGTTTATGTTTTTTTGTCAGTGTATGACTAATCTGAGTTTGTTCCCAGCAGCATGACGTGAGCAAAGGGCCTCTGCCTTCTCCTCTTGCTCCATGCATGTCTGCCTAGATCTCTGCGGATTTTGGCTGCTTAGCTCGGATTTACATCATTTAATTTCAAGGCTTGCTTAACACGTTTCAATCAATGAGCCTCTATTCGCCCGGCTATGTGGGATTAGTTAATAGAAGTAAGAGAACATTTTGTTGAATATATCCAATGCTATCCCACCTGGGCTGGTACAGTGTCTACATGCTGATATAGAGTGTGGTCATGGTGCAGAATAGGGATCAGGTTGCTCTTTTTTTTGTGCTTACATAACAAGATACCAGCTGAAAGTCAAGTTTTTCCAACTACAGAAATAATGAAACAATGCCTGAAGCTGTGCAGATGAAGCATGCTTTTGGGTCAGAAAGTTGGAATGATTCATAATGAGATCAGCGCATGTTAATAGGATACAAGCCTTTATCCTCAGCCCACTTGAATACATAAAGAAAGTATTATGCTAAAGCACCTTCTCTATACACAACTATTTAATGTTGCCTTGCGTCTCTGTCTCGCTCCTCCCAGTGATGGACACCAAGGCGGTGTTTGCGGCCCTGTACAGCGTGTGCGAAGAAAATGCCACTTTCTTCTCAGGAGGAGGCAAAGGGGCGCAGGGTGATGCGGCACGGAGGCTTGTCGAAACTATGAAGCTGATCCAGGAACACGCTCGCAGTCTGGAGCCTGTTGTCTCTGGCTTTGCTGCAGTGTACCATCATTTTGACTTTGACCCTCACATACCTGCAAACGGCTATCGCTCACTGGTCAAGGTAAGCTGTGGGATGTTTTTGTGTGTGTGTGTGTGTGTGTGTGCAGTCTATGGTGTGTGCGTGTTAAGTCTTGGGGGCGTGTATTTGTTCTCATATCAACAAAGTGCAGCAGAATAATAAGCACTCATATGGAAGCACATTCTTATCAATATTCTCCCCACACTGTGAGAAACAGCTCAGCAGCCCCTTTGTGCCTTGATATTGCTTTGTTTCAAGGTCAGTCCATTTGTTTAACAGATTGATTTTATGTTGCAAATCAGGTTAGATAAATTCCTCCAGCTGCAGAGTATCCAACCCAACTGTACTCACTGTACTTTATCTTCTACAGTTATTGATGAAACATCATGACCTTCAGTAGCTACAGCCCACCACAACTAAATGAGTCGTAGCAAAGCAGCAAATGAATGCCGCTCTGTTTTCAGGCCTCCAGATTTCAACATTTATAATCCTTCTCATCCACACACATAGCAACTTTGACTAATCTTTAACACAGTGGGGAAGCATTGAGCGTTTCAAATGCTTGCTTTCTGGCATGCTATCGTACATGTTTTTCCCCCTTCAAGCTTAATAGCTAAATCCTTTTGCAATTTAAGCAGAACCATAACAGCCCTTAAATACATTTTACATAAAATTAAATATAATTCTCTTTGTTTGTCCATCCTTACACAAGGAAATAATCATCAATATATCATTGTTCATTGTCTCAAGAGTACACATCACATCAACTATCTTCTATCTAAAGAGTTTGACTTTATTTTTTCAACCCACTAACTGGATTTTCCACAATTTTCTAAAAATAGACACTACTGACACGGTTCTGAGCAAAGTCCACTCATTTTTTTCTTGACAGATGTAGAAGGCAGCATGGCAAAGCAGATATTACACTCAAACTCACTGATTCAAGATCAACTTTATTGTCCCAGCAAGTAACAAATTTGTCCTGGGCTCCTCACCGATGCTGCAGGCATCAAAAGCCATCATTCAACGTAATTCACATTAAATATAAAGCATTGAATATTGAAACTGTTGTCATCTTCAAACTACTCTAGTTGGTGCGCTGCTGCCTTCTTCACATCATCCAGAAGGGGCGCTACATCACCGCAAACCGGCGCAGCATCTTCTTTCGAGCGGCACACAATGCGGGGGAGATGGAGGCCTACTGCAGCGCTCTCTGCCAGCTGCGTGCCCTGCTCTACCTGGCTCAGCGCATGCTTCATGACAACAGCCATGGCAACCTTTTTTTCCAAGATGAAAGTGGCCTCAGTGAGAGCTTCGTCCGTGAATACTCCTCCATGCACAAAGGATGCTTCTATGGCCGTTGCCTTGGCTTCCAGGTGAGATGAGCGGCATTACAAAGGGGGAGTAATGGACACATGACATAGAGGTGAAGAATAAAAGGTACAACAAATAGGAGTTCCTCGTTGTTCATCAACAGGTTAGACAAAGGGACACTCAGTGGAAAGGAAAGCAGGTTGGATAGAATCAGAAGTTCGAGAGGTACAGAGAAACCAGAATAAAAACCAACCTCAGGGAGCGCCGGTGGCCTAGTGGTTAGTTAGAGCGCCACATGTACAGAGGTTGTAGTCCTCAAAGCAGGCGGCCCAGGTTCGAATCCGATCCTTAATAACATCATTTCATCATTATCACCATTAATATCAACATTAGCATCTTTATCATGAAGTGCATAGGTGTTCATGAAAGAGCTGGGCCTTAAGCTTTTTGTTCATGTGGAAAGGGATCTTGAGTTTGGAAGAATTTGGTGATTCATTCCCCCTCTGTGGAACTACAGAGGAAACGAGTCTAGCAAGTGACTTAGAGCCCTATAGTTAAGGTAGGACCTGGGGCTTTTCATTTGCAGGGAGTAGTGGGCGGGAAGGAGGGTAGACCGGGATGAGGGAGTTTAGATAAGGAGAAGCTGTTTCTGTCACTGTTTTGTAAGCTCGCGACAGGGATTTGAATTTTAAGCAAGCAGCAACTGGATGCCACTGGACTGAGATGAAATGCAGAGTGATGTGCTGTTTTGGGTTGGTTGAGGACCAGCCACTGTGCTGCGCTCTGACTCATTTATAGGGGTTTGAGTGTGCATGCAGGGGGACCAGTTCGTAAAGGAAGTTGCAGTAGTCAATAGCTGTTTCACCTATGCGCTTGTGAGAATTTCAGGAGGACTGCCTCTGAAATCCTCCTCATCTGTTTGTTCAGCGATACATCTCACAGCGGGAGACTATCCATGTCGGATGGTAGAGGAAGGGACTGAGCTCTCCTGATGCAAGACATGACGTAAAAAAGTACAACATTGACGAGGCAACACAGTCCTCTATACAACACTACATTTAAAATATTTGCCTTTATAACATAAGTGTGTGTAGTTAGACAGAATCAGAATACCAACAAAAGAGCAGAGAGGCACACACTGGCTAACAGATAGCAAAATGCAGGAGTTGAATTCACTGAGATCGTAGAGGTTACATTCATATAGACTATGGTAATGCATCTCAGGGAATAAACGTCAACACTCCCTCCCACATGCGCAAAGTGAATTATCCCGATTATATCCTGCCGGGTTCTCACATCAGGAGTTTTGTGCAGGTGTGACTGCACTAAATGACTGATATATATGAGCCTGTACCAGGAGCTGTGCTGATTCAGGACCTGTTGATGTCGAAGACAGAAAACATATCTTGTGCATTGTCACCAGGTGCTCATATAATTACATCTAAGCCTACAGGGATATATTTGAAGAAAGGGGGAGAGTGAAGTAATAAGTCAAGGCCAGGAAAGAAATCCAGAGCTACAGTAAGGATGACACCTGCTGCTTAGACCTGCAGGTAAAATGTAGTGAGTAAAGGATTTGATCGTACAGCCACAGTCTGTGTTTTAAGTCAAGCATAACGAGAGAGGCTGAAACCTCATCGGGCCGAGGTCAAAATCAAACTAAAGGGAAAAAATGATGAAACCTCTCTAGTGCTGTCGGCATCAATTTATAATGTCTTAGACTCCTATGATATTCTGATATCCCATCATCAATTTCACTTGCTCTAGCTGAATGATAACAGTAATCATTTTTCTTTTTACAAGGACGATAGATATGAATTATAATTTAAGTCTTTCTCTGGTTTTTTTTGTCTTTTTTTTTTTTTGTCCATCCTATCTTCCAGTTCACTCCAGCCATTCGGCCCTGTCTCCAGACCATCGCTATCGGGCTTGTTGCCTTTGGAGAAAACTACAAACGGCATCAGTCAGGAATAGGTTAGCATCATTCTGTCTGTAGCTGTACCCTCTCATCATTCAGACACTTGATTCTCATTCATAGCCTGTACTCATCCCCACTCCTCTTCTACATTGCTCCATGGCCCTCTCACTGTGTACCTTTTGATGTTGTGTGTTTAGATTTCTACATGCTCTTTCATCCTTTGGATTCTCGAGGGGTAGCTGCTATGCTTCTTCTATATTTCAAAATGTTTTGAACATTGCACACAGTTATAGACAGAGGCAGTGATTGAAGAACTTACATATTTGTCTCCATGCACACACACACACACACACACACAATTGATTTTAGATTAAAAAGGAACCTTTTAACCCTCACGGTTTCTTGTGCTCTGTGCTGCGCCACAGTGGAGGCAGTCGGTATTGCACCATATGGTGAGTGTACTTGAACCCCTCTCCCTTTCATCATAGTCCTCTCTAGTGACCTCAGGCTATAAGACTATGTGAAGAGGTTTCTTCTTTCCTGCAGATCCCACAATTCTTAATGGTTCTGCATACAGCACTGTTAGCTGCATTATCTTTCCTGAGTCTGTGTTTTAGTTTACAGATTATAGCTTTAGGTACACACATCGTGTCCAAGAGTGACATTCTTCACCCATCGTTCTTTACCTTACATCCTTGACTTATTGGAGAGCATTGAATGCAAGGTGGAATTAGATTCCAGAACCATTACATTCATCTGTTTTAAACTTATTGCATATAAAATGGAAGGTGCATTTCCACCCCCTCCTGTTAATTAAAAGTGAAGCCAAGATACCCCCTGCGCAGATGATGACATATTGCCCCTTGAAGTTATCTGAGGCCAGAGACAGCACAGTAGGGATTGACTGGAGGAGCCACAGTATTAACGTCATGCCCCTTCCACTAACAAAAACACGTTTAACCTACCACTTAAGCCTGATTTATACTTCTGCGTCTAATCTACGGCTTAAATTTGACAAACCCTGTACCTAACTATGCGTCGATACGGCACAGACGGCAAGCCCTGGGGTTGGACTTAATTTTCCTCTCCTGGCTTGCACCACATGTAAATACCGAGAAGAGCGAGTCTAATTATGACCAGAAGATAAATATATGTTCATTGTGTCATGAACCATAATGAGCAGCCTGAACAACAATGCTAACACCCTAGTGCTGTGAGTAAAGCCATTTAACTCTTTTGTGTAAGCAACTGGTCTCTATGGTCACTATTGATGGAGTCTTTTAATGTTTGCTGTGTTTTATTTCTCTGAATCCTTCTTAACAATCCTTCTATATCCCTTCAATTGATCTCCTGTGTTCTCAGTGAGTTCATGTTTCTAATGTTGTTGTTCTATGTCTGAGGATTCAGGCCTTCTATTTCTAGTTTTGATGTTCTTACTCTTTCTGACTTTGCAGTAATACTTGTAGCGATGATATTGAACTTCTGCCTGCCAATCACTTTTTGAGTCCATTTTCTCCTTCTTCAACCACACACATCATTCTTTGCCTTACTGCCCTTTTAAAAAAAAAAAAAAAAAATGTCTAACCATATTTCATTTTCTTTTCATGACATTGTCTCTAGAGTACCAAACCCATTAACACACCCCTCTCATTGTATCGCTCTTTATCTCTCTCCAAGGTGTAGCAGCCAGCTCTTTCTTTAATTCAGGAAAGTATGCCATCGACCCGGAGCTAAGAGGTGCAGAATTTGAACGCATCACCCAGAACCTAGACGTCCATTTCTGGAAGAGTTTCTGGAACATCACTGAGACTGAAGTTCTGTCGGTGAGTAGTTTGTAAATGCTTCTTGATAACTCACAGACGAACACACTCGTTATCTTTGTGTAATCAATCGTCGACAAATGTCCCCTCTGATCCATGCAGTCAGATAAGTGCACTTCTCTGTTTTTCATTTTGTAACTGCATCAGGGATATTTAACTTTACTCTGGTAAAAGTACGTTTTCTATCATTCTGCAGTTTGGCTTGAAAGCAGCTTGTAATTATAGAGTGGAATTCAATTTATTCAGTAGTTCATGATTTATTCATCTGGTTTCTCTTTCTCTCCTGTGACCTGCCTCACTCTGGTACTTACTTCTCGTTCTGTCTCAATTCTTTCTCCCTACTTGTCCATCTTTTCTCACTTTTTCACCATTATCTCTCTCTCTCTCTCTCTCTCTCTCTCTCCAGAGTCTTGCCTCGATGACATCCACTACAGTCAAGGTGAACCGGGCTCTTTCTGTGCCCCCCATGCCCTTTGACCTTCCCCTGGCGACCAATCACAATGCATCTGTAACTATAGCTCCACCGTCGGCGCATATCGGCATGGCTCCCATTCAAATGAGGCTCATCTCGTATGACTTGCGTGAAGGACAGGTACAGAAATCCTTATTCTGTTCACTCTGAAGTGCCACAAGTGAAAAATGCAATATAAAAAAGCCTTATAATCTCCTGTTCTATGTAACCCTAGACTAGCTCTTGTATTTATCTTGTACTCCTTCCTTGTAGTAGAAGTATTTGCTGTGTGACCTTGTTTGTGACAGTTTTCCTCAACAGTTCTTTTTAAAACCATACAGTATACCTACCCTGAAAGTTCATTAAATATTCAAAGTACATGTAATAGCATGTCTGGTATTTCTATCAGCTGCAAGAGTACATGACAGCTTTCACTCGTGCTCATGGATTTAATCTTTGTCATTATTTCTCCCACTGTCTCTATTTCTCTGTCAAAAGGTATCACTCTCACATTCTCTCCTCTGCCTCCCTGTTTATGTTCTCCAGAGAGACTCCCTCTCTTCCTCAAGCTTGTTCTACTTACTTTGCAGTCTGGCACTTAACCAGGTGCCATCAACAAACACTTTCAGCCATTGATCACGCTCCAACAAAACAAGTGTCCCTTTTTACTGTTGCAGACTACAAGCTTGCATCAGCTGAAGCCCTTCCTCTTAGAGACGGCTCCCCTCCCTCCTTGTTTCTGTTAATGAACAGGAATTAGTGTGCGTTCATGCAGGCGCTGGAAAGGCTGGCAGCAAACTGCTGCAGAACAGTTAGTTAATCCCTCTCTCAAAGGAGCCCTTTTGCTATCACTGGCAATGACATATATTAACATTGAAAACAAGGCATTGTTTGCATTGTGCACAGTATGTGAACAACTATCAGAATGATGCAAACACAACTGTCTCAGCACTTTCATCTTCTGATGTATTTGGGCTGTTTTCATTTTCTCTGTCTCTCTCTTCCTTCAGGACAGCGAGGCCCTGCTATCTCTCTCCCGCTCTGAGGGGGGCTCCATCTCCTTGTCATTGGGACTGAAGAGCAAACGCCTTCCCCCATCCCCCTGTCTCCTGATCCACTTCCATGGTGGAGGCTTTGTGGCCCAGACCTCCAAGTCCCATGAGGTGAGATCAAACTCTCCATTCATAGTTTGCCTAACTTTTTTTTTAGCTACTAGGGTAGCTACTGTTTACTCATGATAATTGTAATCAAACCACAGCTTACATAAGGGTTGAAAAAAACTATGGTTGGCTTAGCAGAGGAATTAGCAGTCCGTGTCTCTTCATATGTCTGTGGATACCCCAATTATTTTGTAATTAATCCCTGAAAACTTGATGTAGATAATTTGGTCTGGCCCCATAAATCATTTACTTATAAGATTTACACAAAGCTCACTCTTCATTTTCTTGTAAATGATTGCTGCCTGGTATTTACTTAATTCCTTATTAAAGGGACACACTCACACTTAACTTAGGCTTTATGTCTCAACAATTAGATTGGATCTTTTTTTTTCTTTGTTTCTCAAGACAGTAATTAAAAAAAATCTAAGTTTATAGAAATTCCAATATATGAAAGAAGAACTAATTAGTTATTAGAAGAACTAAACCTGCTCAGTTATACTTAACAAGAAATCATATTTTGACAATGTGCGGGCCCCTGCCTCTCCCTGTTTCTCTCATACTTTCCTGGTCATCTTTCACTGTGTACAATCTTTATGTGGCATCAAGCTACTTGCAGCTACCACAAGACAGGGCTCTGTGAAATTGCCAAGGACATGGGCATCCTTGATCTGCAGCTGCATAGCAACCACAAGATGAGAAGGAGCAATCAGACAAGGGAGTGAACAGGGCTGTCATGTTGAATTAAAAGAGAACCGTATGACCCTGCAAAAAGATTACCACAGGCACTAATGGAAGCCTTGTCAGACTTTCCTTCTCTATTCTTCTCCTGGGCTCTCTGTTTTTTTTTGTTTTTTTTTTGGTAACATCCTCTCTCTCAATCTTTGTAATATCTTACAAAATCTGTTTTGTTTACTTAGTGTCCTTCAGTAGCAGAAGTCTCTCGTGCCCTCAGTGCTCAGTGATGCTGAGATCACAGGGATGGATGAACTGGCATCTGTGCATTAACCAACTTGGAATCAGACCACACACACACCCACCCACCCACACAGTGTTTGGCCAGTAGTGGTTTACACTCACAGATTAACTGCTCTGCTGTCTGAGAATGAGTGGGACTAAATCTCCTATTAATTCCTGCTGCGAGAACAGATCTGGGACTCTGAACTGGTGTCTGAGAGTTTTTCTTTGTTAATAGGATGTGTGTTCAAGAAGGGTTCCCTGAATCATGTAAATATAACCAGCTTTGTGCCCTGCCCAACAGCACAAACACACATACTTTTCTTTTTCTGGTTGGCCATTTTTTGTTATTTACTAGCTCCTTTAATGCAGGCAGATGATCAAATTTTTGATTGACACTCCTGCCCATGGACTCCATCACATGTTCACACTAATCTTAGCCCATCAACAATGGCTGTTGCACACATACAGTTGCAAACACTTGCACCTTTTGGAGTATCTTTGCTCATTTGTACAAAGCCTCACTGACCTGAGCAGTACTTGAGCTGCGTGCACACTCACATGTCATTATTGAGATTTATTGTGACAGGACAGGCCTTAAGACGGCACAGCTGACTGCTGAAGCTGCTACTTTGATTATTTTTCGTACCGACTCACTGGTCACTGAGCCATCATACAAGCATCCACACACTATGCTTTTCCTGGCATTGTGATTGGAGGGCTGGCAGTGAAAGCGACAGCCCTGTCATAGCTTGTCAGAAACCTGTTGAGAGAAGATAAAGACAGAGGAGAAAGGATGACTGCATTGTGGAAGGAATATTTCTTTTCATGACAAGTTTTGATGCCTTTCTTACATTTCAAGGTCACTGCAATTCAGTTGTGAAGTGGAGCACTTGCCATAGGTTGGCATCAGAATAGTAAACACTTAGCCTGACTGGCAAAAAGAAAAAAGGCTCAGCACTCTAAATCCCTTTAAATCCACATCCACACCATCCCCTTTTCTTTGTATTTTTTCTTTGTACCCAGCAAACTAGGACATGTGGTGGCCACCTGGTATTACCGTATGTAAAGATAGGAAATAGAGGTGACTGTGAGGGTAATGCTCATTCTCCCTTTGTCTAGACAGTAATCCAGAAAGCAGACAGATGACATCAGAGAGACACATAATTTTCATAATTTGTTGTATCCTCGCTTCTTAATGTTCCCACCCACGCATTTCTCTCGCGCCATATTTCTTTGACTCTCTGTCTCACTTCCTCTGTGTTTTATTGTGGCTGCTGTTGTTCTCATAAATTTTACAACACATAACATATTCACAGTGAAACGGAGTGTTTTTCCCATCAGATATTCACCCCCTCTGTACCCCTTGTATTCTGTCTTGTGCAGCCTTATCTGAAGAGCTGGTCTCAGGACCTTGGTGTCCCCATCTTGTCAGTGGACTACTCTTTGGCCCCTGAGGCCCCCTTCCCAAGGGCTCTGGAGGACTGTTTCTACGCCTACTGCTGGGCTCTGAAAAACCCCCACCTACTAGGTACACGCCGACTTTTGGATGTTTAATCTCTGCATTTTTCTCTGTACGTTTTTAAGTAATGAAAGAGTATGCTCAGTTGAAATGATACATAAGGCAGGTTAAAGAAAGTGATTTATTAGAATTAATGAGTCCCCACTTATGTTCCCTGTGCCTCTCAAGGGAATTCATGCATCACTTTGAAAGTAATCATGCTGCAGCACAATGTCTTGGAGCGCAGCCCTTGTTCTGTATCCTCCCACAAATTGTGATGCTTACTATGAAAGCAGACAACAAAAGACATCTCATCAGTTCTGGGTACATCCAACTGCTGAGGAACACTGTGTCAAATTAACAGTGATTCCATTGAATCATGTTACAAGAAGTACAAGAAGTACAAGAAGATGATAACAGTGACGAGAGGGAGGCAGTGAGACAACGCTTCCTCTCTACAGCCTCATATTCAGCAGTGGAACTGTGGACAGAGTAGCTACTGTAAATTTATGTTTGTCACAATGCCTTTTATCTGAACCTCAGTGGATTTTTCTCATAGTTTCAGAAATTTCTTTTATTCATCTTTATTTTGTGTTCCACTTTTTTCTCTTTCCCCATGGCGCTATCAATAATTATTTCCCTCTTTCCCTTCTTCCTCTCATCCCTGTCCTATTTTGTTCTCTCCAGGTTGGACAGGAGAGAAAGTGTGTCTGGCCGGTGACAGTGCGGGAGGCAACCTGTCTGTGACGGTGACGATGCGCGCTGCTGCCTTTGGTGTTAGAATGCCAGATGGCATCGTGGCAGCCTACCCGGCGACCCTGCTGACCGCCTACGCGTCACCCTCTCGTCTGCTAACACTTATGGATCCCCTGCTGCCTCTCAGCGTGCTCTCTAAGTGTCTCAGCGCCTACGCAGGTAGGAGTGTGTGTTATCAAAAGAAATCGAGCCAGGATGTTATTTGTGAATTTAGATCTATTTTCCTCCATTCTCTTTTGTCAAGCAGTTCTGCACATTACTGCCATCTGCTCCACATCAATCATACTCCTAATCAAATGGCCTGGACTAGGGTTTTGGGTTTAGCAGTAAAAATTCACAAAACCTCTTGTGTGTGGCATGAATTATTTTCTTTTTAGGCTGGAACAATTATTTTTAATTTTATTGATTTAATTTTGTCCTTCTGTTTGGCCTTTTGAATTACATAACTAAAACACAATCATTTTGTTTTCACTCATCTTATCACCACTATCCATCACCTCTGTAATACAAATTGTTGCACATCATCGTTGCTCTGTGTCACTGATAATCTTTACTTTCCATTTTTTTCGTTACTTGTGAGTCTTCTTTGAGTTTTCTTATTGATGCTTGTTCTGGAATACCAAAGAAATTCTCATCTGTGTTGTGCTTCTGACCTTTTCCACACTCCTTGGTTTCTCTCCTCTAGGCAGCGCGCCGGAGACAGAGACACAGATAGAGAAAGTGAGCACACTGAGCATGGTGAAAAGAGACACGGCACTGCTGCTAAGAGATTTCCGTCAGGGAGCCTCAAACTGGATCCACTCTCTGCTGGATTCAAACAGAGCCTCGGCCTCTCCCAGCACAGCTGCAGAGGCACCACCAGGAGCCACTGGTACACCACCGACTGTGACTGTATGCATGGGTGTGCTTGTGCTTGTTTGTGCAATCAGGTGGAAACAGGGGATGAGATGTGGGTGGCATAAATGTGTTTTACTGTGTCGTTGCAAACAGCATGCGTCTTTTGGTACAAACTACAGTTCACTTTTCACTGTGGTGAGAGTGACTGTGTTTGTGTGTGTGGTTGTTCCACCCACAGTTTCAGTGTCTTAATTAAGGTAATTTATTTAAGTTTCATGACTTCAATGTCCCGAAGTTCATTAAGAACCCATATGGAGGAGGTTACAGACACAGATCTCCTTTATTCATCATTCAACTAACCGATTATGGCTTTATCCTGCTCTGTTACATAACACTCCTGTAGCTCCATTCATATCAATTCACCTCTTTGGAGCAGCAGGGTTTAGACAGTAATTGTTTATTGTCACCACCGTAAATTTGGTGGCGAACCTTAATTTCCCTCGCGTCCCCTTAGCTAGGTGACACCCCCACAGCTGCAAGCCCAAACTAATGAGAATGTCATTGTTGGGTGTACATTATTAAATGGCCATCATGGCGCAGAGATGGTTCATCATTAAAGAGATGAGAGATTGCTGGCGCTTTGTGAAGAGACCAGCCATGACGGCTCTTACAGCTGTGTTTTGACGGCTCGGGCGGGCGGATGATATTACCATGACAGCACTATTTGAATTTCCTCCACCCACTTCTCCTCTCCTTCTTTTTGACATACAGCAATTTGCATTTTAAGCTTTTATCTGTTGGCTTTCAACCAGAGGACGTACGATAAGTGGAATCTGAAGAATAAGTGAAAGTGGTTTTGCACTACTATTGGTGTGTTTTTGCCCTGTGTCCTCCAGCTGCTATTAAGCCCAAGTAAATTTCAGTGGCCCCCTTTTCACTGGTGTGTTCATCCTTCACACACCACATCCTGTAATTTGTGTAGCTAATGTTTTTTTTTTTTTTTAATGCACCCACTTTTGTGTTTTACTTTGCCAAATGTCTCCTAAGTCGCTCTTATTTCCCATCTCTTCATATCCTCTCTCAGACACAGTGAGGAAGAGCATTTCAGAGGCGTCCATCTCTTCTCCTCATGCTGACCCCCCCGTACCATCAGAGACCTCAGAGTTCCCCACCAGGAAATTATCTGTCAAGAGCCAGACTTGCCAGGACTTGGGATCCCACAACAATTCCACTTCTCACAACTCACCACTGCTCTCTGAGCGAGCTGTACGTCACGCTTGAGCATGTTTACATTAAGATATTCATGCTTTCACTTAATGTTCAGAAGAAATGTACAGTATTAAGATATATGGGCTGTTGCTAAAAAAAAATCACTAAGCTGTTAGTGAGTATCTGGGTCTGGGTATTAAACCCTGTGATTAGTGGAGGTTCAGTAATTAAATGTATTTTTTTACATGGTTGGAGCTAAGGGAAATCTCAACAGCCTTCCTATCAATGATCAGCTCATGTCTGCCTTCATGCTAAATCTTTTCAATACAAGCTGCATGCAGTTGAAGCCTTTGAGAAACTTGAAGAGAACATCAACATGGATATTTTGTCCCTCTGTCACACAATGCTGCATACCTTGCAGTGATGTACAATGTGGGTGTACAATGTTCGTGAACTCGGCTGAGATTATGTCACCAATCCCTCAAACAGAGATTTTGCTGAAAATTGCTGACTGCATATCAAAACTTTTGGTTGTGCGTGTGCTGGCAAGGTATTGCAGATTATCCTCGGATGTATTTTCACACAGGCAGAGTGGATTAGTGGCTGGCTTGAGAAAAATAGCAAGCAGAGGTGACGTAGGACTTTAAATATGCTCCCCCTGCCTTGAAACCAGAATTGGTCAGCCAAGACGCCCAGGCACTGAGCCAAAGTGTTTTGAATATTTTCACAAGGACAATGTAGTCTGTGTGTTTTTAATCAAGTTTCCTGACATATATTTCTTATTTCTTCTATCCTTGACCGTACATTGTCTTTTGACCAATGAGTGCTGTCCACACTCGCTTGAATTATATCTCATCTCTTCTTTCATGTAGCCAGAAGATGTGAATTTCTACCTCGCAAAGGATGCAGATCCATGCATTTCCAGAGACTTGTCTTCAGTGGCCATACCGCCCCCTGCTGGAGAGGAGGGATCGGAGCTGGAGCACCCTAGGGAGTTCCCCCTTGGGTTTGAGCCTCTCCGCTCAGCGCAGCTCGCTGAGATGAGGGTGGAGAGCTCTCCAGTGGTCAAGGATCCTTACTGTTCTCCTCTTCTGGCTCCTGACAGCATGCTGAAAGGACTGCCTCCTGTGCATATAGTGGTAAGAAGCAGTAGTTCATATTAAAGGAGGTGATTTTTCCAAAGGAGTCAATGTTTTCATGAATAAGATTTGTATTATTTATTACAATACGTTTTTTGATATGCCACCAGTTAGTGGAGTATCCTTATAATGAAAATAAACTAGAAGATCAAACAGCTCATGATTTAAACATGCGGTGAAGCTGTCTTTCACACATTTTTAAGCTAAATTATTTCATTTTATTTAGTAAAGATAAATCAAACCAATAAAGAAGACAGAATAAAGCAGTTTGGTGGGATATTGTTTTGTCTTAACACTCTTCTGTGGACACTTCATGTCCGGGGGGGCGGGGGGGAGCTGCAGGTAATATTAGCTCAGCGTGTTTGCATTAATATTCCTCCAGTGTTTACAATTCATGAATTTTTTGATGGGAGCAGTCTCATCTGCAGAATACTCCTCCTCTACCAAACAAATGGATGTGGTTCAGAGAATGATTAAAAATAAATCCATTTCACGTTATCCATTCGTATTTCTCCGCTGTTCTTCAGTGGACAGGATATGCAGCGAGGTGGGATTCTAGCTGAGCAAATACTAATGTCTTTATAGTTGTGGACTGAAAGTTACATCAATGTCCTCATCTCGGTAGGATAATGGGAGTCACTTTCACCATTACTTGTGTGCCCTTATGTTTCATTCTCCTTTTACAGTAGACATCCTTTCTTTCACTTGTAGCCCAAACACTGTTCAGCAGCAGAGAAGTGGGCGTGTACTCCAGCTGACTGGCTGTTGATGCTATTTCTGCTGTGTGATAGGCTGTTTGGTCTTTCTGTACTGAGAGAAATGTCCAACGTTTATAATAAGCAGTGCAAATGTTCTTTGTTATTCCAGATGGAGATCATTTAATTGCTCAACCATTGTTGATATGACTGAACGAAAGAAGTTACAAGAAGCTCAGTTGTTCATATGTTTAAGGTTTGAGAGTGCAGGAGCAGAGCAGGATGAGGACTTTTTGTCAATAAGGGTGTAAACAAGGGAGGAGCAGAAAGGGGGGTGGGACTGTTGGGTTTGAGGGTTCAAATGTTCAAATGTTAAAAGCCGAATACTGTAGAGTGCTGAACACTCACTGCTTATGAGAGTGAGACAGTGTGATGGGGGAGACGGGGGAAGTTGAAGCCTGCTGTTTTTTGAAAAGGGTAATATGAAAATGAGGAAATAGGTGCTAGATTTAAAGTGCCTAGAGTGAGTCAGCGAGAATGTAAAGAAAGCTGGGACAAAAGAGCCTGGGACGCTTGGCTTCCTTTTCTTCATCCCTTAATTAAGATTCTTGACAAGTCTGAAGGGAATCCTAATTTGCTTTTCTCCCTTTTCCCCCTCTTTTTGATCCTTTCCCTCTCTCAGGCTTGTGCTTTAGACCCCATGCTGGATGACTCTGTGATGTTTGCCAAGCGATTGAGGAGCATAGACCAGCCTGTGACTCTGTGCGTGGTGGACGACCTCCCCCACGGCTTCCTCAGCCTATCCCAGCTCTCCAGGGAGACGAGGGAGGCTGCCGACGTCTGTGCGGGGAGAATTCGCGCCGTCTTCACCCAGACGGACTCGCCCATGGAGCCGCGCAAGCACCGCAAGCTGGAACGGACCGATAGGGGCATGTCTGCCTCTACTGGGGACGACCATTCTCTCTTTGTATGCCCCATTGAAGAAGTGGAGCTAACTGAAGGCATAGGGGCTAAAATCTCTGATGGGGAGGGCCTTGTCACTGTGGAAGCCCAGAATAACACTGATGCTGATGGCATTGGTCCTTAAATAAGGTTAGATAAAAACAGGAGGACTGCAGTTCACCCGAGGAGAGGAGAAAGAGCAAATGAAAGTCAGATGAATTTAGGCAGTGCAATGCTTAAAAGAGGAAAAAGATGGGACAGGGCAGTCCAGCAGATTGCCCAGTTTTTAGAGACAACAGAAAAAAGGAGAGAAGTGAAATACAACTCCCTCCGCTTTACATTTCTTGCAACTTGTCTGCACCATCATGCACCGACGCAAATCTGGCAGACAAAACGAACACGCCCACGGAAGACAGTCATTTTTTCGAATCAAATGGTAATTTAGCAGCTTCTTAGATCAAAGACCTGTGCTCACCCACACATGCGACACAGATACTTTAACAGAGCTCCCGTTAGGCAGCAGACGATCGGACTGGAAGCAAAACAGGAGAGTCTTGAGACGAGGTCTGAATGGGTGATTCATCCAGGCCAAGGCAGTCATTCGAGATCCTAATCAGATAGCAAATAGGCATGCTGTATGCTTCTGTACAGAGTCATCCTATCAAAATGGCCCCTTGTCCTTAAGGGAACATCTCTAAATCAGACTAATAACTCCACATTGTGTTCTCTATTATGCCACTTTGGCAGTCAATACAGCTCACTTTGTGAAAAGTAACTGTGTTGACTCTGCTTAATGCAATTACAGAGCGAAAACACAACCGACTAAAATGCTCTAAACTGGATGAATTGCCCTGAGTATTTCTTGGTATTCTGTTGCAGTTTTTAAATGATCCATGACTAAACCTATGCAGAAGTTTTAAACTTTTTTATTTTATTTTTTTTTTTAATACATCCCTTTTCTCTTGCTGTATTATAATCCTTGAATCATGACAGGGTTATCTGTTGATTTTCACTCTTATGATGTTTGTTTAATGTAATCGTATGCTGTTTGTTTACTCCACATTTTTGAATATTTACCTCTATATTTACCTCTGCTTCTTTGGCACAGCTGCTCTGACATCGCAAACTTTTCAATTGAAATAATTTTCTACTCTCAGCACTGCATACTGACGAGATATATTAAATATAACGCAGGGACAGAGTGACCTGTCGAGATGCTGCCTGGTGCTTTTTGTAGTGCTGATATTATCAATGCCAACATGACATTTAATTGATTATGAGTTGTGAAGATGCACTGAGATGTTTTTGAAGACACTCACTTAAGAACTACGTCCCATCTTAACAAGCGATTTTTCAGATGTTTCTCTTTTATTATTTTAAGACTGGAAACTGCTGCTCAAGATTTACTACTTTCTGACGTGAGTAAGAGAGAGCAAGTGGCAGCTAAAAGCCTGGCTCTCGCCTATCAATAGTCATTTTAAACTCCACTGCACTGATTTCCTCTCAGGATGCGCCCCGTTCCTCACCAGGCATTATTGCTCACCACTTCTCTGCACAGCATGCAGTGTGTCAGAAGTACCACTTCTCTTCACGCAGGGTATCTCCCGCCTGACAATCTGTTTTCTACAAATCAAAGGCTTTTAGGCAATTCTCCAGGACCCTCTGAAGGAAAAAAGATTGTCGGAGTATTGTGTAAAAGCCACTGAACTTGTGTTTTGGCCAAGTAAAAGTAGCTGGTAGTCCAGATTTGTTTTGCTCCTCTCCATCTTATTTGGAGTGGGCTTTGTTTTTAATAAACCTGAGGACACTCCTTGGAGCAAGTTGCCACTGAAGCACTTTCAGGTACACAAAAATGCCCTTCAGAGGGTCAGTCCCTCTATCAGGCCCAACTAAATATAGATGCAAACAATGCTGGCACTGTCACCGTCCTGCCCTTGCCTGGTAACAGGGCTGGGGTTGCCAGGTCTGTAGAGAGAGATGCTGTGTGATGAATAGGATTTAGCTGAAGCTGCGATTGAAAAATCCTCCCCACCCGTAGAAGAGCAGGATTTTAAGCAGCAAAGTCATGCTACAGGATTAGACTATGCTCAGTCCTGTCAGCTCGTAGTACTTACCGCAATATTTTTAGTCAGATTGATGGAAGAGAACCAGGACCGTGAAGAGAAAATAAAGTAATACACTCATCCTCTGAGATGCTGGGCTGAAGTTTTCTTCTTCCTTTACTAGCCGCTGTTTATGCCCACTCTGCACTTTTGCAGTAGTTGATCTGTCATTCTGTGCAAGTGTGTTATAAGCTTGACTTTTATATACGTGTTTATTTTTTCTTTACTTTGTGCCTGCCTTCGTGTGACCAAAGTGCAGTCAGTGTGTGCTCATTCACTTCATCCAACTTGAAAACATGAGTTTACACGACAGGGGCTCCTATTTGTTTGTGTTGTGTGTTCACATAAAGACAGGACTGGCACTTAACACTCAAGAGACTTTTCATAGTATTAATCATCTGTTGATGTTTTTTTTTTTCTGATAAACATCGACTTTATTTCACCTTCGTCCATCTCCTGTGAAGCCAGCAGGGTTAGTTGGCAATTAGCACTGTGTTGTAGAAATGATGTGAGCTGCCTGTAAAAAGAAAAAAAAGTGTCAAAATTCATCCCGTTGCTGTTTATTGACCTCTGTACGCCTCGTTCCCTTGATGACCACTCATGCATCGGGCCAACCTGGGTGCAGGTGATGGACCGGAGAGCCCATCTGGTGTTCTGGAGAGATTTAATAGTCAGTGTTACCCCTTTAATATTCTCAATTCCTGGCATTATTGTGGATCCACTGATGTTTATATGCTGCCTGCAACTTAAAGCTGGAATGTTTGTTTTAGTGTTGTTTCAATTTAATGTTTTTGCGTCATATAGTCTCACTGTTGATGATCCACAGACCCAATTTTAGAACCACAGAATGCCCTCGAGAGTACAAACCAGTTGTTTCAGTGTAATGCTATTTTCTTGTTGTATTGGTAGTTTAATTATCAGGGCGTACAGCATACCTCCATAGTTTCTATAGCTTTCCTTACTTGAGATTTTCTTTGCCCAAGGCTGGCTTTTTTTGTATGTGCAATGCTAAAAAGTGCAACGCTGCTACAAGTATGAGCTGGCTTGTAATACTATTTAGGTCCTAGATAAAGCTATGCAGTTACACTCCAGCATCACATCATTTTTCTTTGCACACTTTCTCTTTCCAGTCAAACATACTGTTGTTTTACTCAACTCAAGGCTGTAGACTTAATAATTACTGAACCTGGAGATGTAACTCTCTCTTTTTTTTCCTCATGCATCAATGCAATAGACTGACCTCACCCACTTTTCAGAAATATATCCTGATAAAAAAAATACTGTTTTTTTTTCTCTTTGTTTGATATTCTACATCTGGTCAAAATGTCAAAAACCACCAAAGTCTGCAGCCAGATTTTCTGCACTTGCCATTTAGTGTTTGCTCTTGAAAGTTATCCTGAAAATGCAGGTGCTGTCTCCATATGCAAATTGCTCTTTACTGTAAAATGCATTTCTGGTGTAGAATATAAAGCCTTTAAAAAAAAAAAAAAACAAGCCATAGACTGGAAACGCAGCATTTTGAAGTTTACTTTTTTATGTTTAAAGTTTTCTTTCATTCAGAACACCAGAAGTGCAAACCTGTGAATAAAAAAAGAATGTATATTCAACATTGTAGATATTTATACCTTAAGATTTGTTAATCAGATTGATTGCACATTGATTGATTTGACTGCATTTTCTTTGCAGGTCTCATACTACAATGTTGTGTAGGCTGGTTTCTTCCATTGTTGATTTTTATCTAAATAAATATATTATCCCAAGAAAGCAACTGCTGTGTTCAAGCTTATGAATTAACCTTTTCTTTTACTTTAAGTCACAGGGAATGTGATTTGTGTCTGATGGTTTTTGATTTTTTTTTTTTTTTTAATGTATGGTTGCATGTGTGGAAATTAATTTTACCTCAAATGTTCATGCAGTCAAAACTCAGCTAACGTCAATCATGGGTTGATCTTTTTTTAGAACTATTATTAGATTTTCTGCATAGAACATGAATGTAACATATGGAATATTAGACCACTTTTGAAGTATAGTCATTTCCTTCCGATGCTATTTTATACTTGTACTTCACCACATTTCTGATCCAAATACACTAGAGACATTTAATTGACACTTATACTCTGCTGACAAGAATTAGGATCAGAACATAGCATTAGATCATTAAATGATATTCCTGCACGATAGCACTCATATCCAAACATCAAACAACATATCCAAACAAGATAAGACACTAGTTTGTCCTTACAGCCTTTTGAGTTTAAAAGATGTGAGTATTTATTCCATCTCTGCTTTTGAATAGACACAGGACTGTAGGCATGTTGAAAATTGAACGATTTTCAAAGAAATTCAGCAGCAATGCAGCCAATTATGACCCTCCTCCTGTTGATATATAGCCTGCTGTTTGGTGATAGCATAATTTAAGCCAGAAGCCCAGTCATCATCTGTCCAAGTAAAACTTAATTAGAGGTGTGTGTGACCTCTAATGAAAACATGATTGCAATCAGCGATGGCATTTTTAATGTGTGGACGTGTCGCATTCTCTAAGCACGAGCGGAACCGGGAGCGCGCGCTCTATACCCCCCAAACACACACACTCACACACACACACACACACGCACACACCTTCCAAACAACTAGACGTCTCAAACTCATAGCATCCAGCAGCCAGATTCAGCTGCAGGAGGGGGCCCACACAGGCACTGCGAGCAAACCAGCGTCCACGAGCTCCTCCGTGCTCGAGCCGCTCCTCCGTGCGCGCGCTCAGAGACAAGCTTCAGAGAGCTTCAGAGAGCAGACGAGAGGCAGCGGGGGAGAGAGAAAGATGGAGGTGAGGGTCGGGGAAAGACTCCTGTGCCTAGCTGTGTTGTCCAGCGTCTTCTTCGTGGATTCAGTCGTCGGGAAATACGTAAAAGGCATCGTCAACACGAAAGAGGTGAGCGCTGTTCTTTTCTTACCCCCCCTTTTTTTTTTAATTATTATTTTTTTTATAGTTGCCACTTGCGACATGTCACCGAGCTGGACCGGGAAACGGTCTCGACTGCGTATCCGCACGCAGGTGTCTCTGGTGGTCTGTACCGCGGATAAACGAAGAGGCTGGCTGTAATTCACCGTTTAGTTGCTCCAGTTATTTTCACCAAACACACTCTGCTCTTTTCAGTTTTGCCACTTCGCGCCATTGGCATGAGGCTCATCTGTGGCGTATATTTAACCCTCATTATGACAGTCTTTGGCATCACTGTAGCCCCAGTAAGCGGAGCCCCACCGGTCCACTGCTACCAACCCAGCCTCCAGTAGAGATGAGGCTTGTTGTCTTCAAATAAACGCAGATTCACGTGGAGGGTCTTAAATGTGAATTAGCAGCTGTATTTCTCTTTATGAGTGGAGGAGTCGTTACAGGTGTGCGTCATATGGCTTCTGGGGCGCAGCGCTGCTGGATTTGTGGGCTCAGTCCAGCCTGCTCAGGGTTCTGGGTATGTTTGCACTCAGGGCAACATCGTCATCATCACTAGCCTGACAACATCTGCCTTGAAATGTTAACTGTGTAGAGCTGAGCAGCAGATACTGTAGGTATGTATAATGCAGGAGGCTACCACCTGCTGTTCCTCAGCTGTGGTCGGTATTCTCACGAGTTTGTGGATGAAGTTTGGCACACACGAGTGTAGAGGGACTGTCTACCATTTTGTTGCGAGTTCAACAAGATAGGACACTTTGCAGAAACAGTAGCCTCTACAGTGACTCTGTCAAATAGCCTTCATTCAATTATTCATGCTCGTTTTGAACATTATGGTAATTCTGTTGATTTCCTGCACAAGCAGTGCAGTGGAAGACAAAGTGCTTCTCTCTCAAAAACAACAGAGTAAGCATTTGACCTTTCAGTCTGTGAGGTCCGCCAAGCTTTGAGATTCTTACTAGGGTTTAAGAAAATAACTGTTTTGAAAACAGGCTTGTCTACATTTCTCGTTCAGACTGACCATTAAGGCTTATTATGAAATGTTTTCCATATTCATTTACAGCGAATATTGTTCCAGTTTCACTTGAGGCATAAATGATAAAAAAATGTTGTCATATGTTGAATTGTTGCATGACTTGCCTGAGGTCTCTCGGCATCTAATATCTCTATCGGAACTTCTTAGTGACTAACAGATCAGGAGGTTGGTGCACAAAATCATTCGCTGAAAATGCATGTTCACACATTTCACTCCAATAAAACACTTTATTAATATTTAACAAGTACAAAAAAAGTCCATCAACGAGCACTCAGGTGTCATGGATTTTTATGTGTTGACAAAATACCGCTGGTGAGCAAAAAGGAACAAAAAAAGGATTTTACAGCACAACTTTGCTCACATTCATTATTGTATCAATTGCTTGTAAATCACTTTACATGCCCGACTCCCTACCAAAAATAATCTGAGTCAGCAGGCAGTTTGAGCCAACAAGCTTTAGTTCTCACCTTACATTCCTGACTTGTTTTGCTCAGGACTACATTAAAATTGCATCATGAATGAAAAGATTGAAGTCACCAGTTTGAATCCCCATCAGGATGACAGGGGGATTTTAATGGATAAATTGAACTAGAGCTGCTGATCCATCCATCACTGCTGTGGAGATGCCCTTGAAAGCAGCACTGAATTTGCACCTGCTCCAATGACCTGCAATCGGTTGAACACGGCAAATTCTGTGTTTGTGTGAGAGAGGGAGACTATTCCTGAGCAGAATGTGATCTAATTGTGTAGTCCTCTTCTGTAAATGAGAATATGATTTCAGTAAATATGTCTTGTCATGACATTTCATGTCTGTCCACAAGAAGTATACCGGTAAGTAGTAATGCACCGATCCAACTTTTTAAGTACAGATACCGATCCGATACCTGCAGCTATACTAGGTACCAAGTAACGATTTAATATCAGTGTTAAATGCAAGAAGTAATACAAGTTGTAAGCATTAGAAGTGTGAGATTGCAACCTCCTGTAACTGTTAAAATCAAAAGTTTGTTAGCTTGACATAACACCTTCTCATCCTCATCTCAGAGCCTTCTGACTTCACTTGGAGTCACTTATAAAAACAAATTATAATATCACCAGGTTACATAACACTATTTATTATTTTCTAAAAAACTGATAACCTTAGCTTTTAGTCAGGATATATTTTTTTCAAATTTAAGGTATGTGATGTCAGTTTATGACACAGCATGGGTTTGTTTATCCAGGTTGATGGACACAGACTGAATAGACATAAATGTACACCTATAACTCTGTTTATTTTATTTTGTATAATGTTCTGATGCTGATCCCTGTTCAGAAAAGTTGTCATTTACAGTATATGTTTACCTCATTGGTCAGTGGATTTGGGCTCCCTTAATTATTAAGTCCCAGAAAGGGACGGGCCGGACTTCTTTGTGCAAAGTACCCTCCCCCAAGGATCAGCCCATTGTCAACAATACTCCACCTCTTTGAGTCAGTATCAGACTTATATACGATACCATGATGATGAATCCCTCATTATTGCATTTTATAATTATATTCATGATCAGTTATTCTAATAATTTCTAAATTAATCATTTGGTCTGAAACAAGTACAAAAAAGTCCATCAAATATTTGTGTTCTGGTTTCTGTTTGTAGTATTTTCCGCTAGTGTTTCAGCAGGGTTAAAAAAATGTTTAAAGAGCAAAAATGAGGGGCAGATCAGACATCATGCAGTCCTGGATCTTCTAACCATTTGTGATATAACACTTGCATAAAACTCTTTAAAAATCTTTTTTTGGTGTGAGCTCTATGTATGAACGCAAACAGCCAAATTTTGACTCAGACTTTATCCGAGGTTTCTGCTGCCAGCCCCCTTGTATTTTTTATTGCAGAAAGTCTGAGAGAGCTTATGTGAGAAAAGCCAGCAGGATAATATCAGGAAAACTCCCCTTGAGCAAGTGGGAGGGAATGCTGACATTTATTCTCTGTGATTGGAGCATGGCCATAGACTGTACTGCACACGACCGGTATGATCTCTGTGTAATTAACTTGCTGCATTTTGTTTCTGTTCACCAGTATGTTCTTCTGCACTCTTTTTCTATATTGTAATTCTGTAAAATTACTACAAGTGTTGCCATAAAAGCAAATATTTTCATTATTGTGACTTAAAGTGGACTTTGTTGCTTCGTCTGCCTCTTCTGTATCGTTCTTTTTACGTCATGTCTTGCATCAGGAGACCCCCTGCCAACCCTTTCGTCTGACAGTGATAGTTTCCCGCTTTGAGGTGCATGTGTGAAAAATGACATCAGGAGGATTTCAGGGGCAGTCATACTGAAATTATTTTGGAGTGCATTTGTGAGAACTGCTCATTATTTGATTTTGGTAGCTTAGCTAAAAATGAGCTCTTAGACGATGCCTCCAACTCCATTCGCAAGCTTCCAAGTCAGCCTTTAAACAATGACCATCCCATGGAAAACGAAATCATGCCTGAAGTCCTTCATCACTAGCTACATTGGAAACCTGGAACCAATTTAATGTCTTTCAGAGTCTCTAGTCTGTAATGCTGTCAGGTGACTGTTGATGAGCTCCAGGACTGCTGCATTGATACAGAAAGTTTGATTAAAATAAGTAGCATTAAGATTTAATCAATGTAAAGAAAAAAGAGGGTCGCAAGCTACATTTCTTTCAGTGGGGCTTGTGGTTTGTTTTCTTGACTTTCACTCTGAGGCAACCTGACATCCTAAGCAAACAGCACAGCCCCCTGAATGACATCAGCCAACACTTGGCTTGACATATTGATAGAGTGTGTGTGTGTGTGTGTGTGTGTGTGTGTGTGTGTGTGTGTGTGTGTGTGTGTGTGTGTGTGTGTGTGTGTGTGTGTGTGTGTGTGTGTGTGTGTGTGTGTGTGTGTGTGTGTGTGTGTGTGTGTGTGTGTGTGTGTGGTGTGTGTGTGTGTGTGTGTGTGTGTGTGTGTGTGTGTGTGTGTGTGTGTGTGTGTGTGTGTGTGTGTGTGTGTGTGTGTGTGTGTGTGTGTGTGTGTGTGTGTGTGTGTGTCCATTACTGCCCCAAGGTCACCCACTAATTCAACTAACTCCACATCCTCTCTCTCCCACATTTACACACACACACACACACTAACAGTCTGCTTTCATCTGGTGAGGCTGTAGGTGTATCAGTGTCTGCAGTAATGAAGGCAGTGTTTGTGCTGTAAATTGACAAATGTAATTCACCACACCAGGAGGGATAAACTGTTGAAAAACTAGAGAAATAGAGAAACACGAGCAAAGTTATCCAAAGGCATCGGAGCTTCAGGCTGGTCAAAATCTTTATTTGGGCTGGTCGATGTGTGCAATTAGCTCTAGTGGCTCATGGTGTGTGGAGGCACTGATAAAATGTTCCTTTGAGGGGCAGTAGTAGCTTTAAGGTCAGAAGAAGGTCGCTGGTTTTTAATCCAGCTGGGAACATCTAGGAAGAAAATAAAAAAAAGTTATTCAGCAGCACACAGCAGAGGACCCCTGAACAAGGCAGTAAATCTCATCTGTGCCTCAGGATTTTTCTTTTTTGTTTGCTGCAGACCCATTTCAAACTTCAACAAACGCAAAGTCCTAATCTGCTAAGGTGTTGTTCAGGCACACATGACATCAGACTCTTGATTTTATAGGCTTCTTCAACCCTCAGTTTCTGATAAGTAAGACACATATTCTGATGGAAATGTACCTTGTGATCAGCATTATCCTCTAAACATTTAAAGGCTTGTCCTTGTGATCCACAAAGCATTAAACAAGTTCATTTGTGTATCATATTTATATCATGTGTGACTTCTGTACTTCATGTCTTTCAGCATCACTAGACATAAAATAAGAAATAGTGCACAACAGATGTGCTGTTTTAGACAGATACTGATACGATTCTGAAGAGGAAAAATATAATTCATTAGTGATCAGAATATAGAGGACTATAAAATGA